GGGAGGAGAGTCTAGGATGCTGACGCCTGTCATACGCCGTCTTTCTGCAGATCGACATCCTGGTCAATAATGGTGGACGCAGCCAGCGGTCACTGTGCCTGGACACCGGGATGGAAGTGTACGAGGCACTGATGGATCTGAACTTCCTGGGCACGATATCGCTCACGAAGTGTGTGCTGCCCCACATGGTGCAGCGCGGGGTGGGCATGGTGGTGACCGTCAGCAGCGTGATGGGCTTCGCCGGCGCGCCCCTGGCAACCGGCTACTCTGCCAGTAAACATGCCCTGCAGGTGAGGATTGACCACCCCGTGTGTCCGGGGAGCGCTGGCTCGGGGCTTGTTTCCTGTTTTCCAGCTCCACTTCCTGTTGGAAACGAATCCCCAGCTCCAGTTTGTACAGTTTTGTCCGTTTCCAGCAGCTTTTGTGATACAGGCTTGACTGCGATGGGTATTCCCTAGAGGGCAAAGGGGAATCACACAGGACATGGAAATTGATTTTGTAAGGGATTGGCATTGCACTTGGAAAAAGATGATGAGGAAGAAGCGTGGTATTCAATTGCTTTAATTTTGTGCCAGGTAAATGAATGGAACTGGTCAGTTTTTTAAAGTAGTAGTTTACACTTCTGAACCCCGATTATAAGACAACGTTTTGATGAGCTTTTTCGAAGTAGCCTAACAAATCCCGAAACTCTTCAGTCGGTGCCCCAGCCCCCACAACCTGACGCCGTGATGTTGCTGATGCAGTTCATGCCTGCGGTTAGGGGAAGCGGTGTCTTCCACGCCTGTAGCTGACGCTTTGCTCACCCACTTCAGGGTTTTTTCAACTGCCTCCGCACGGAGCTGACGGATCATCCCGGGATTACCATCAGCACCGTGTGTCCAGGGCCCGTTGTGTCACAGATCGTCGGCAACGCCTTCACAGAGGACCTGGGCAAGGTAAAGCGCCTCCTGCTGGCCAGAACCTCCCCTGGTGTTCATGCCAGTTACTGCATTCCCTCTTGTGGTTTGCCTTCTGGCCCCACACCCCATTACTTCATTAAGTGAACTGGTGGTAGATCTCGGGTTAGTTACAAACATTTCACTCTTCGTCATCCCTGTCACAGCCAGTGTACCCCAGTGATGAACTTTGTTGAGCTTCGACGTGCGCGTCTCTGCTTCAGTTTTTTCAGTGCGGAATACGGCTCGCTGCCAAGCGTGTGCGATAGTGACCGTTTCCTCCTGCCAAGTAGAAACGCTCATCGGATACAGTGACATCTAACTTGGCAGCCTCCCCTCTCTCTCTCTAGCCCAATTCAAACGTGGGTGACCAGGAGTACAAGATGTCCACGTCTCGCTGTGTCGCCCTCATGCTGGTGGGCATGGCCAATCACCTGAAGGAGATGTGGATCTCCCAGCAGCCTTTTCTGCTCTTCTGCTACCTGTGGCAGTACGCGCCCACCTGGGCCTGGGCACTGACAGACTGGCTTGGCAGGAAGAGGGTGCAGAACTTCAGAGCTGGGCTGGTCAGTGGAAAACACACAGTCGGAGTATCATACCGAGACTTGAAATTTAAGCCATTCTTCTCTTGGTTGTTTTTTTCAATGTTTTTAATTGAATATTTTGCAAGGTCCTGAAAGTCTGTCAAGGTTTCAACATTTTTACCATGTAGCATTTTAATGATTTGTTAAAATGTTATCTCACTGATGCATAGGACTACTTACCTATGGCACTGGTAGAGGCTTTACTTCACTTAAAATGAATAGAGGTAGAGCAATATGAGAAAGAGTTCACAAAGGCTTATTTTTCCCTATCATTCTATCCAGTTTCCGAAGCATTAGGAAGCTGGCAGGATTATGGGGAGGAAGAGGAAAAAGACAGACTTGAATACACTAGGCCAATTGTTAGGCACGCTTGGTTTCCATCACTGGAGTCAACCAGCCCGAGGTACAGGTTGATAAATACCGTAGCGTCCCCACCAGGGCCTGAATTCATAAAGCCTTCGCCTGGGTGTAAGAGCATGCAGGATGTAGGCGCTGTCACCAGCTTCCCCCGGCCCGACAGAATAGGAGATCTGGAAATGACAAGGACGTGGATGACAGTGTCTGTCCTCCAGCGATAGTTGTCTAAGGCTGCCTCTGTACTACAGAGTGCAAGAACAGCCTGCTGGAGATCTGAGGGTTAACATGATACGCTCTTACACTGTTGTGAATGGAAATTCTCACTTGGCTGTTGCCTAAGCAAGGAAATCATTGTTTCTGCATTAAACAAGAGTCCTGTCAGGGCTAACATTCCAGTTCAACTGTCTGTTCCCTTACTGTGCATTGACCTTGCTGTCTCATGGCAGCCCAGACCTATGACTCTTTGTCCATTATATCCAAAACCTGTTTTGGAAATTCTCAGAATTGCAGTTCCGTTATCATGAAGTACTGTACTTTAAGCAACTAGGTTCTGTAATTTCTAAGACATACTGAACTATAAATTAGACTGTCCAGTAATTTTGTTTGTTTCCTCTGCAGGATGCGGATTCATCTTATTTTACAAAGCCCAAGACGAAGACTTCCTGAAGCATTTTATTCATTTTGCTTGATTTTTGTCATTAAAATATCTTTCGCTGTCAGAGTTGGAAGTTTTTTTTTTGCTACAAGATGAAGTTGAAATGTTAAATTAACTTGCATGGCTCACTTTATATTTTACTATTTAATGGAATGGGAGATTCAGCACTTCTTGAGTTTTAATGGACTTTTCTTTTTGTATCTTTCCTCCTGTGTACATTCAGATCTGTGCAAATGTAAGTGAGGGATCAAATGGCAATGTGTAATGCAGCTTTTAATTTAAAATGATGGCATCTCTCATCCATCATATTGGTGGTTTTAAGAGAAAACCTTAATGTTTTAAGAGTCTCCGACTGTGGTACAATAGCCAGCCATGAGATTAATCTTTGAGCAAGCAATCAGTGCTTTTCAGAAGAATGTTTTTACATCTTTGCCAAAACAAGACTTTGATGCAGCAACTCTTTCTAAAGTTATTTTCAGCAGTAAATAATTAATGGTGAGGTTAAGTGTTGAATTTAAAAGTATATATATTCAATCTAAGCTGTGGATTTGGAGCACAAGCACATCTGTCTCAAAGGGCTGCATGCACTTTGCATGTCTTTGGGGTATGTTAAAGAAAGCAATTATCCTTATATTCAGTGCTCTGTTGCTTCAGTTGTCCACTGCTGCCATCATAGAACACCAGTCCAAAGCTGTGGGAGCTACAGTACCACAGAAGGACTGACATCGTAGTCTGCAGGGACACTGCTCCTCCCTTCAATCCACAAACTCAGGAGGGAATGGCAGTAGGTAAAATCAGTGTGACCACAGACATTTGAATAGATCAAATACAGAAAGAATACATCATCTTCCATCAAAAAATTAAGAATTTTGATCCACGAGCAGCTCTGCTTTAAAATGGACTTGCATTCCTTAGCCTGTTTGGTGTTTTTAAGAGTAAAGAAAGTTGCAACATTTCTTTAAAAAGTGTGTAATACATGTCCAAATACATACTGTACAGCAATCACAATTTGTAATAAATATCTTAAGAGAAACTAGACAATTCCTATTATATTTACAGAAATTTGACAGTCTACAGTTCTCAGAAAAAAAAGGTCAGTGAAGAAAAATAAAGATTATAAAATTGCCAACAAAAAATAAAAGTAATAAAACCAAGGCACATCATTGAGATACTGTACAAGTTGTGAATAATCAAACTTAGTTTCCCTTTATGTGAGAACATGTTTTCAGAGTAATTTTGTCTGCAGTCTTCTGTGCGCATTTATAATAAAAGTATTACACTAATCACACAGAAATATATAAAAATAATCAAACTAAGAACATAAAAAATAGAGACATCTCAAACTTGGAAGCACTCGTAAAGTTGCATTAAAACAAGGGAGAAAAAAACTGAATGTTACTTTATTTCATGGCTGCCTGATGAAGGATAATCATGTCTCTCTTGGAAAGAAACCTTACCTCCTAAAAGGGAATGTGCACCACTTTCATAAATAGTTCATTCCTGCACTGGCTTCTCTCAGAAATACAGCTTACCCACACAAAAACACTCCGTTGCTGCAATTAATCAATCAATCAGTTCAATCTGTCAGTAAAAGTGACTGTTTTGTGTGCACAAGCAGACATGCACTTCTTAAATTAAAAAAAATATAAAAATGGAAGTTTAAAAACAGTCTCCTTCACCAACTCCTGGCTGAGAACTCTTGGTGAGGATTCAAGAAGCAAGAGAAATTAAAGAAAAGCGTAAGGCAACACATTACTTGGAAGGATAAATTGAACATACAGTGTCATATAGCAGATGATATGCAGCAGCCAGTTAACTTTGCAAAGAGAAGCAGTGTGGAGCAGTGGTCAGGGTTCTTTAGTCATTACCAAATCTCATTAGAGACACTACTGTTGTACCCTTGAGCAAGGTGCTTCATGCAAAGTGTTCCAGTAAAAGAGCCAACTGTATAAGTGGGTGCACATATAAGTTGTTTTGGACAAAAGTGTCAGCCAAATAAAAAATAGTAATACGAATTTCAAGAAATACCTTTTGATCAACAAATGGTGTCTATCTAATCCAACATAAAACAAAAAATTATTATACATAAAAATGCAGCTGAAGTTTCCAAACAGGCTTGCCTGTTAACAGTGCTAAAAAACACAGTCAAGATTTTATTAGTATTTAAAGTTAGAAAACTTTTGGTAGACCAGGAGCAACTGTTTATGCAGCTTTAAGGACTGTATGAGTGTCTTGTATAAAGTGAATAGTAATGTAGTCATCAGTCTGTTTTAACCCCAAATTACTTTCCTCTTCCTCTCGAGTGAGTGTTAGCAATTAGCAAGGCTGGAGACTGAACCTTAACACCAGGCATGTGTGTCCATCAGGGCTTCGGGGTCACAGCTGCCCCAGGTCTTCAGATCCCTCACACAAAAATAGTATTTCTCTGCTGCACACGGAGGCATCTCAGAGGAAAGTCTAATCCTCTGACATCAGTAACGGATACCTATTGAGACTCTGTAAATACAACCGATTAGTAGTGTTCCCTTCGGCTTCCACTTGTCGCTCAGTCTGTATTGCAGGGTATGCGGGTGTATGCACCTGTGAGGGGGGAGAAGGCCAGGTCAGAAGCAGGGCACGTGGAGAGGGGGAGAGCTGTAGATGGGGTAGCCCAGGGGCGGGTCTGCAGCCTGCACTGTGAGGTTGCGCAGCAGCACGGGGTGTGCCTGGATGCTGTAGCGCTCCTCATCGTCATTGGTGGCGTACAGGAGCTCCCAGGACAGGTTGGCCCACTGCCCCCTCACCCCCTCAGCATTCAGACGGCCGATCTGCACCAGCAGCTCCTGCAGCGTCAGGACCCGGCCAGTGTAGGTGCCCTGAGGACAGACGGGAAGAATTCAAGAAAACAGTTGGTCATTGTTTGCATGTATTTTCTCAACATGACACTATAAAATATAAATCTCTCTAGATACAAAGAATTAATTCCTACAGTTCTAGTACGTTCACTCAGAATGGCTTTTCATTTTTCCACAATCAGGAATTGCTACCGAAAACAAAGCATCGATAGCAAATGAATGTTAAAGTGGCTTACAACTTTTTAATTAAAGTCTTATTTCTTACCATTTTAATTGATAAGATATGGGTTACAATGTGTTGAAATTGAGCACTATATGGCATTTCCTCTAAAGCGGTCTGTGCCTCTTTTTAGGAAACTCTGCTTATTCACTCACACGCCCTCACAACATTTTCCTTTTCCGTTTCCCCGCGTAACTTATATATGAGATTTAAAAAGTTAAATGTGTGAATACAGCATGACACCAACACCAGAGAGGTAACTTCTTTTCAATTTCAGGTCACCCAAAAAGCTAAAGACACAAAACACGCTGTGGGGCGCTCGCCAGAGAATCCTGGGATGAGTTTATGGGCTACAGTGTGATCTGAACTACAGTGTGAATCACAGCAGTGGTTACCATGGTGAGGTCGTGACCCAGTGAGAAGAGGAAAGGCTTCTCCTGCAGCACAGCATCCTGCCAGCCTCTCTCGGACACCAGCCCGATGTACCAGTCCCGCTCGTACTCCTCCAGCAAGCTCAGCAGCTCCCCGGCACCCTCCGGGGGCCCCAGGCTGGCCTGGTCAAACAGCAGTTTGAAGCTGTACCTACACCAACAAAACAAGGTCAAAGCATGACAACCGAGAGGCGCGAAATTGTAACAATCCTCTTGAATGCACAAAGTTTTTCTTTTTGCTGGAGTAAGAAAAATAAACTTAAAAGTCTACTGTAGTATAAAAAGGATCATCAAAACTAACGCAGGAAAAGTCTCAGAATGTTTTAGAAGGTTGTCCTTTGAAAAAATAAACTGGGGAGTGATCTCCTATTTTGTAGAACCTGTGTCATCTTTACCTGAATGCCTTCAGAACAAGCTGGAAGAGCTCCTTGTTTGTAGTGAGCCAGTCCAGTCCAGGTGTCCAAGGCACATCCCCGCAGTACACTCTATAGGCATAGCTTGGGCTGATGATGGTGGACTCTGCCCCTACTGTCACGCCATAGCAGCTCATCACCACATGGGCGTACAGGTCCTGGAGCACCTCGTCTCTCCGCAGGGCGTCCACCACCTCCTCGGCCCGCTGCCCCTCTGCTGCCAGCTCCAGCCGACTCAGGACGAACTGGTACCAGTCAGCCGGGAACATTTTCTTCAACTGCTGCATCCGGTGGAGCGGGAGGGGTCCAGCCCTCCACTCTTCTGGCAACGACAGCTGCTCAGAGTGAGGAGAGCTGAAGATGACTCTTGAGAGAGTCCCCAAATGGCTCAACCCCATAGCCTTCCTCCCTCGATCCACAGCAGGAAGGCCCAGTACCTGGGGCACACGAGCCCCGTGGTCCGGCCCCAGGCTGGCCGAATTCCCAAACAGGCTCTGCATCTCCACTGACCCTGGAAGAGAAGGAGCTACCTCCATCTGCTGAGCTGCACTGTTCACAGCTATTGTTTTTCTGGAAGGCTGTGGGCCAAAAAGATCATCCTCGTCTGACCAATCACCAAAGGTGTCCGAGTTTAAACTGGAACTGTCCCTCCTGAGTTTGGAGGAAGAGCTTTTTATTGTTGCAACATTGACCTCTGCAAAAGGCTCTCCACCAACTGGAGCGAGCTTTATACTTGTACTCTCATCCACTCCTTTTCTTCCAAAGGACTTGCATTTCCTTGAGCAGTGCTGCAAGAGCACCCAGACCAGCACTTTGAGAAAGTCGTCCTTCAGCTGCCTGAGGTTCCCATGAGAGTCAATGATGCCGGTCAGAACATTGCGCGCATCAGAGTACAGGTGCACAGGTAGTGTGGCGCAGGGCGTGAGGATGTTGCTAAAGTGCATGTTCACCAGGGATCTTCCTGGCCCCTCCAGTGGTTCGAAAGCGTTTTCAAAAACCTCGTCAACCCTGCGTGCTTCAGCAGTATGACATGATGTCTCCTGGAGCTCCAGTCCCTGAAACACAGCAGCACATAGCACAATTAACACACCAAGAATCACTAACCTCAGTAAAGTATGGATACTGCCTGTCATTTAGCAAAAGATTACCTATTTTTGCTAAAATTAACTGAATTAGATTTCTTACAGACACAAAGCTCAAATCATTAACCCTTATTTCACCCACAGAATATAAATTTTGAAATAAGCAGAGTAAAAGGAAGTTTAAAGGAATTTTCTATCACTGGCAATGCAGATGGATCCCCACAACCACTGCTGTTTGCCGATTCATGGACTATGCTGAGACCTTGAGGTCAGATCAGGCAACACGTATACATTGAAATTCAAGTAGATTGCCCAACATGCCCTCTTCAAAGAAAGCGCGACACAATGGTGTTTCCCTGACTGCAAATTAGTACCTTAATATTAAGGGAGCAGTAGCTAAAGCCTCTCTCTAGAACCATGATCCACAAAACCCGATCCTGGAAGCGGCCCAGGAAGTGTGATCCAGGAGAAGGAGAACCTGGAAGATGGAGAGAACAGCCATAAGAACGAGGAATCTGCTCATCATAGGCTAACTACCAGAGAAAAAAAGATTGTAAAGCACAGAAAAATAGTACAGAGCAGTATACTGAACTTGTATAGAAGCTCAGAAATCCTTGTTTGAGTTCACCTCTTATTACCATTCCCCAAGGACAATGTCAGATCCCATAGCAATATCTCACTGATGCTGTAATGTCAGATGATACAAAGTGACATCTTATATATTCTTTTGGTATTTGCTGCTCATTGATGCAAAGCAGAATGTCACAGAAGGGGCAAAGACAACTTTTTTTTTAATCATAAGATCCGTTTGTCTTAAATCATACTTGAGAAAAAAATCAATAAAGGAATCACATAATTTAACAAAAAAGACACTGCTGTCCTCACCATAATGCATCAGTATTTTGACAGCAAACCTCATCTTGGAAATTAGAGTAGTAAGCAGCTAAACTCTGCTAAAGTACAGTACTAATTACTAATCTCCTTCCCTTTATCCATTTTAAACGGATGAACACTTTACATTCTTGGCACAAAGTCAACCAAACGTCCATTGTAACTGCTATTTATGAACCAAAAAAAGATGACTACACCCGCTGCACCGACCCAGGGATCCCACAGCGAAGGCCGTGCGGAAAGCAGATGCCAGGCTCCATACCATCTGCTGGTAGTAGACCGAGTCGGGGCAGGAGCACGCAGCAGAGCCCACGGGACTGGGCCAGCTACGCAGAGGCCGAGGGAAGCCCACGAAGAAGACAGGCAGGGTGAACAGGGGCAGGAGTGGGGCGGAGAGCACCGCAGACAGACCCAGCACGGCCAGCAGCACTGGGCACAACACGCCATTGAGCGCCAGGAGCGTGGCCGCAGACTGGCGCCTTTGTTTCTTCTCTGTCCATGAGGTCACCAGCACCGTCAGGGCGAATCGCAACTTGGACACAAACTGCCCCAGTCTGTCCAGCACCAGACCCACCTGGCACCACACACACATACAAATGACAGGGAATAAACAGCTAAATGCAGGTAAAGCAAAAAAAGAAAACACTTAAAAATTCAGATTTATTTTCAAAATTAACACCCCAATTCTAACATTTCCCATGTGATTGAAAGAATTAGAATTGAGTGGAAGAAAATAAATATGAAAACAGAAACTAACTTCAACAGAAAAACACTTTTGCAAGGACGCACAGTAACTAAACTTCTCATATTTACAGGAGTGGAAAGACCAATCATGCAGAAAGAGAAAGAGGACTGTAAGATTATGAGGAACATCTCAATTTAAGCATTATAATTGGAAACCACAACATCTGAACAACCTCCCTCAATAAATCCACTCTGTGCCAAGGCCATCTGCTTATCACAAGTAAAACAGAGGGATGGTTTGTTAATGAGAAAGGTTATTTCTGTCTTACCAACAGTAGCTGGATCCCAGTGCCAAGGCTATCCCACCAAACTAATTTATTGTCCTTGTCTGCCAGCCGCACAATGGTTATCACTACCATCTGCAGCAGGGAGTCCTCAGTGCTTTGCCACACCTGGGAAGAAACAGCCCCAAAGGCACAAGTGAAATTTAAGTACAGGTGTTTTGGGGAGTCAATCAGATAGCACTTCTTTATACAAAGCATTGCTGGTATCAAACAAACTTCCCAAGCACAATATTGATTTTTCAAGAATACCTCAGTTGAACGAGGTTCTGGGATCATTTAACAATTGTCATCAAATGAGCAAGAAAGATTACAAAGCAGGACAAATGACTTCCACTTTCTTAAGCTTTTATATTCCTTATAGATTTCTGGGAGATCTGCAGAATTTTAGTACCGTACAACTGATATTCTACCTAGTCGAACTCAAAACATCTTTCTGCAAGGATTTCTCCTCAGACCTGTCATGATGGGTCCCCACCACACTGCACCTAGAGCCACATATGGTGAACAACAACCAAGTCTAATTCTAGCCCCCAAAAGCAAGGAAGCCAAAAGCTAGAGAACTAAGCATATTTCACAAAGCACATCCTATTCCTCTGCCACAACCCTTTTCTAGTGCATACAGGCATTGGCAAATGACAACAACTCACTGCTCTGAAGGCCCTGGTGAATCCAACACAGAGGGATGCTGTGTGCAACCTCTGAAGGGAGCCATCCATTGAAAGAAAAGCAATCATGACAAACGGAGAAACTACAAAGGTGCACAAGAGATAAAGATTCACTTATTAACATTATAAACAGAAAGGAATTTCTACTACTAATGAGAGCATTTTAATGTCAGTTTAAAACAAGTGTGCAATATGAAGGTCCTTACCCAGATTAAGCAACACCCTTCTGACAGCTCCTGCCTTCCTTAGCCCACTGAGCTCCTGCTTAAAGACCCTGACATTCCCCATCTGCTTCGGATACAGGGGGTTGTGGAAGACCCCCCAGAGGAGGTAGGCCCCTTGGACCTCTCGCAGGGCCCAGGTGAGGAACAATAGAGCAAACAGTATATAGCTGATGGTGGCCTGGGGTCCTGTTCCAGAGTGCTGGGCTGGGGTGATAAAGTGATGCAGAAGCCCAGCCTCTGTCACAGCAGCCAGAAGGAGGCAGCTGTGCAGAAGAACCTCCCTCCAGCCCAGCCGCCAGCCCAGCGTGTGGGGAGGGTCTGATCTCTTGTCCTGGGGGCGCACCGCTCCTTTGCAAGGTCGCAGCAGGTCGCGCGCCTGGCTGAGGTCCGAACTGAGCAGGAATCCCATTGCAGTAGTGAAAAGAACAACCCCCAGGGCACTGGGAATGAAGAATGTGCCCACAGCCACAGAGACTGACGCCACAAACATCACCAGCAACCTGCAGCACAGAATCACACAGTCAGGGGCTTGTCCATCAGCTCAGAGACGGGAAAACGCAGAAATAGAGGATCCACATACTGCAAAAAAAAATTGAGCTTTTCTTTTTAACTACAGCTTTAATGATGCATTGTTTTTTTGCAGGTAATGAAGGAGAGAAAATAATATTTTGTATAAATGATACGAAAGCTATTAACTTTCTTTTATGACCATCCACTTTCAACACACCATTAAAATATCTTGAGTTCAGCGTCTTAAAATCATATTTAAAACGAAATACAATAAAGACATTGCATACAAAAATATTTAGGAATAGCCGAGTGTGAAAAGTCACAGGATGACGTTTGCGTCCTGGAAATGTGCAAATACAAAAACCTCTTTCTTCAGTTATACAGGAATATTTTCTTTCATAACACACTAGATCCCCATGCCACTTGGCAGACTAGTCACATAATACATTCACATGCAGTCAGCTACGGAACAGAAGGTTCCAGCAGACTTTTCTGTGTCAGAACCCCATTCACCAAGCCTCACTCACAGAAACAGTGTCAGGAAACAGACCCCCGTGACTGAAGCACTGCTATCACCTGAGGTTGGTTGACATGGGGGAGCCGCCCAATCCGAACACCAGTGTCTGTTCCATGCCCCAAAGGAAGAGGGCATCCACAGGAGACAGCATGCCTAGTGCCCACAGTAATGGCAGGAAGAGGAAGAGTACATGTAGCACCTGGTTCACCTGCTGCAACTCAGGAACTGCCCCCAGAAACCTGCCAGCACACACAGTGGGGTGAATGAGAGGAAGCAAACTGAGACAAACACAGTGGCAAGTTCAGTAAGTCATGAGAATCTGAATTTTTATCAGTACAAATTACAGTCCAGAACAGGATAAAGCAAACAGCACATAAACAAGCAAATGAAGTACTTATTACTTGAGGTTTCATTATACAGCGCTTAGTTGCGGTTTAAAACGCAGCAAATCAAAGCAGCGACCTGGTAAAGACTCTCCAAAACACAAGGGTGGTGTAAATTAAAGTTCACACAGTTTATGGTATTATACATTTTCATTTGCAAAGACACTGAAGGAGATCTAATATAAGAAATGTAACTGGACAAAACAATAATGGATACCATTTTCTTCTATCCGTACCTTTGAGCAAGATCCACTGCAATGAAGGCAAACATGTAGAGCGGTCGAGTAAGGGGAGTGATCTCGTAAGTGTCTTGCGCCTGGAAGGTGGCTGTCTCGGTGGCCGTGTTGATGACCAGGGAATACTCTCCGATGCACAGGGTGACCCAGCTCAGCACGAAGATCAGCACGGCCGCCCACGTGCTGTTGTAGAGAGACGTCAGCCTGTTGAGCAGGACATACCAAGTGCCCAGCCCGCACAGCACGCCGGCCAGGACCGCGTGGAACACGGTGTTGAGGACCGACTTCTTCCCTGGGATGATGAACTTGATGGTCTCGGCGCTGGCGCAGCTGGGGAACTCGTACTCCTCCTCATCGGCCAGGATGTTGGGGCTCTGCAGCCACTCCACTGTCCCCGTCCTCCGCACGGCCCACAGGGTCAGGATGTGGGCAACCAGGGTGGCCCCCAGCATGAGCCCCCCCGCCAGCGCAGCCGCATAGTAATCCTCCAGCAGCTGCAACTGGTACAGCAGCGTGCCCACCCCCCCGAACACCCAGGGTGCGAGGAACAGGATGATCTGGTTGACGTAGATGTAAGGCGGGGCGCAGTACCCCAGCTTGAACCGGGGCCCCCCCAGCACCGTCTGGGGGAACCGCTTCCAGAAGAACTCCTGCTTGTACTCATTGAGCAGGGGGACATCCGGGCCCATGTCTGAAAGCCAGCCGGCAGGACCATCCGATCACCCCAGCTGCCCGGCCGCAGAGAGTGGCGCCATCATCTGGCGGGTCACGGGCGCCTCAGCGTGAGGCAGACATCCGAACACAGCAAGAACTACTGTAAACAACCTGCAATGAAAAAAGTCAACTTTCTGAACAAGAATTATTTGCAGTCTAACCCAAGAACAGCATGTCACTTCGGTATTGACGTTGTACTCTTACTTTCATTGAGTTGGGGAACTATTTACCGATTTTAGTGAATCACATTCAGACATTTAGGAAGAAAATCACTTTCCCCAAACACCTTTTTCTAAAAAGACAAGGTCTCAATATTACACTTCAGTTCTTTTGAACTGAAGCAACGCACATTCCTGGCTTCTCTAAAGGACAGAGTAAATGTTACCGTGAGCTACTGGAAAACACACAAACTAAGCCAATAGAAACCACGGCGATAGCTTACATACCATGTGTGTATTTATACAAGATACACTACATTACAAAATGAGACTGTTAAAAGGAGCCGTCTTCTCAAAAAAAGAGCGGGTGTAGAGAGGTTTCGGAAAAGGCACTTTTTCGGCAGTCTGAAGTTAATTAATAGTAACTATATCTAAAAATGACTGTTGACACGCCTAAACCAGGACTCCGCGGCTCTCCACGGTCCGACCGTTAACGACCTCAGCGAGCAGGCGAACCGTCGGAACAAGACCTTCGAAAACCTCCGCAAAACCCCCCCAAAAATATATATATATACACATGTTTTCTTTCAAATCAATTCACGAATAACGCCCCGTTCAACGGCCAGCGTCGACCACCGTGAGCTCAAGCTCAGGGATAACCCCCCCTCTAACAAGAAGAAAACACACGAAGTTAAGGCGGGTTGTGAATTTAAAGTTAGGCTGCGATATGGACTCGGAATTCAAACTGCGTTCGATCCCACACCAAAGCATACCGGATCCGACAACAATAAGTCATTATTATGATTATTATTATTATTATTGTTGTTGTTATTGTTATTATTACTACTGCCAATAATATCGCCTTCTTGTGCTCACAGCTTTGACCGCCGAAAGGAAATCTCCGTCTTGAGTGAGGAGGAGAAGTTATTTTTGCAGCAGCAGCAGCAGACTCCGGTTTCCATGGGCGAACGATGCAAACAAGCCCAACCGCACAGACTCCTGGCAGGTGTGCAAATTCTGCTCGATGCACACAAGCGCAGAGCTTTCCCTAGTTGCTCAGGACCTGCTTGCACCTACGCGTTTTGAGATATTCTGTCCCCACCACCCCTGTCCCGCGCGTTACCCTAACGGCACCCGACAATATTCAGTTATAACTTTTTTTTAATATATTTTTTTTCCCCCAAATGAGAGCTGGCGTGGTTAAAGGCGAGGATCTCTCTCCTCGCACCACTTTAAAAAGCAAAACAAACAAACAAAAAAAAGACAGTCGTAGAAGCGCGGCCATAGAAATAAGTCAGGAGCCAAAACGCATTTCTGCACAACGTATATGCCTAGCTAATGAAAACCAAATGTGCCGTGGATGGTGCCCTACCATGAAGGCTGCAACCCCATTCTTCCCCGAGAATTGGCGAACACGGAGGATGCCTGTTTCTGCTTGCAGCCTTAAACCAGCTACTTACAAGCTCGCCAGCCCCGATTCTTGTTCGCCTTGTCCGGTAGGGAATTCTGTGATTGAGCATCAAGTAAGAAAAGGCAGAGTACAGTGTCCAGTTTGCGACCGCTGGCCCATCGCGCTTGCCTGCTGTGTACTTGAGGGCAGGCAGTTCCTCCACACTCCCTGGGCTCGCTGCCCTCACTCGGGCACGTACGGCATTACGCACATACGTGACCTTTCACCCGAGACGCCGTGCTCACCCACTGTGACCACGAGTGCACCGATCATGTGACTCGGGATTCCTTGTGAGAAGTGTTTTGGGATACCGACATTCTTCGGCGGGCTGTACTTTTGCTGTTCTTTCTCACCATTTGACTTCATGTGGAGTAATGAGAGCGGAGGAATTACATTTTGCATTGCTTCTGTTTAACGCATATTGCTGACTAGCATCAGACTCATTTATCAGAGCAATCTGATTGAAAACCTTAAGTGTACTCCAGGGTAGACCCAGCCCAGATCACCGACCACTTCTAAAGATACAATTCTCTGATAAGGAAATGACAAACTGAAAGGCTTCTAATGATTTTTTTTTTATAAATAGAACTTACTGAGAAGTTACAGCAGCTATTTGCAATTTTACATTATATGTACTACAATATTAAACGCTGAGATAAAAGCAGACCCTGAGAGCATGCTAATGTGCAATTGAGCTGTTGTGTTCGTTGTGCGTCATGAAAGGTTTGGGCGTTATGTAATCTTGTCCATTGATCTAGGAGTGACCCAACAGAGAATCAGACAGTTTAAGAAACATGGGGTATTGTCCCAGAGTTACACAGGACCTGGCCTGCACTCTTAGCAGTGTCCTTCACTGACATTCAAAGTCCTGAAGACAGGGAGAGTCTCCCTGCTGTTTGGATGGGCTGTGTGGACACTGCTGATGCTACACAGGGCCTGTCTCCTGTGATTAATGACTTCCTATAGGTCACCGTTTACATGTTAGTGCATTGCCTGTCTCCCTTTGCTAAATGGTACTTAGAAACCCCGTCCAGCTGGCATCAATCACTTTGCTTGTAATCTCTCAGAAGAAGATACCATTTTATTTCAAACTCTTGAATTCCCAATGTTTTTGCGTGACATTGCAGATTACACATTAGCACCGAAACACATTTCTGACCCTGGGCTCTGCTTTAAAGCAGCCATCTAATATCATGTGGGCTTTTATTTGCAGCCTGTGGTTGATGGATAAAAAGGTGTAGTCGCATCTCCTCATATCACACATCTTAGTGCAAAGTGGAGGTGAATACAAGCGTGTTTTCTCTCTCAACACTGCCTCTAGAGTGACCTCAGACTCTTTACTCTATAGAACCCCACCAGTGACCAGACCAGGCCACAGGCTGCAGGGAAAAGCCACAGTGCCCCCTGTCTCTCACAGCCCAGCGCGCTGTGTGCCTAATTAATCCCCTGCTCCGAGTTCAATCCAAGCAGCGCGCTGTGATTGAGGACAAAGGAGAGACTTCTGAACATCTTAAGCTCCAGGAGCCCTGTTTAAAGGACACAAGATTGCAAATGCAAGCGCAATTACCATGTCATCTGACGGTAAAACGAGGCACTTGTGCTGATTGCCGGGTTGCTTTTTTCGATTTTCACATTTTTCAAATTCAACTTCAAGGGCATGGCGTCTCCTCGGGTGCCAGTCTGTAATCAAAAACGACAAACAGACGGCCCAATTCATTTGTCATCAGCATGACAAAAGTGCCCCCTCTCCCTCACCCCCCACTTTAAAAAGATCTCGTACAGCTCTTGTACATTTGGCAAACATGCAGACAAATTCAGCAGTACCCAGCTCTGGGGCATCGCTGTTCTGCACACACACAAAGTGCACTGATTGGAGGAGTCTGTAGTACTCATGGGCAATACCAGCTGGCAATAGTGTCAATACAAACCTCCTCTCTGCGCAAACATGACAACACACACCAGGGCACAGCTCTGCTCTCACAGCACCACTCTTACCTGGACCTTGGACCCGCATGTCTGTCCTTTATCTTGCCATGAGTTAGTCACCGCTGATGAAAAGACTGAAGAACTGCTTTTCACAGGGCAGTGCAGAGATATGATGATGATAGGAAGAGGGCAATCAACAACACTGAGTGTGCTGTAAAACCACACATACTGCATATAATGTCAAGTCACTATTTCTATTTTGCCCTCACCAGAAGACCTGCATGTGGGCAGGATTCTTGTCTGGGACAGTTCAGCCAAGCACCATCCAATGCTAATGTTTGTTCTGTCCTGTCTTTGAGTGTATTCACGATGTTTGCCATCAATGTGGTCCTGGGATGCTGAAGGCCCTCCTGTTCTAGAACTGTGGTTGCGCACTGTGCTCACTGTGCTGTAGAAGAGCATAAACAAATAACGTCCAGTATCTGATGAGGTGAGAGCTCTCCATATGTCTGGACATTCAGGGCTATCAGGTACGCAGGCCTAACAGCCTACCAGCTGTATTCTGCACACAAGCACCTCCTCGGTCCATCAGTGCACATCGTACAGTGTGTGATCACTCAGCCTCTCCCACACTTGCTCAGATAATATGCCAGCTGGACAGGGAATGAAGCGAAGCAGGTTTTTTTTTTTTAGATTCTGGTGATCTGACAAGCATTGTAAAACGCAGTCTTAACACAGATTTTCAGTGATGAGGTACAGAAAGACATGACATTTCCCAGTTTGATTTTCCTAGATTTCATTTCCTAGATTGCATTTGTGAGTCACGTGCCAAAAACTCTTAAGCGTGCTTGGAAAAAAAAAAACAGGAATGGCCTCACAATCCTAACCCATCGGTTTCATCTTGGCACAATAGAAAGAAAAAACAGTAAAGCCACATACAGTATGCATCATCTTTCTTTATTGATTGTAATATGCCCCCCAGCTGTAATTGTAAGAATAATTCAGATAATCTAGGTGGACAGACATGACATAGGAAACGATATCCTTTTGTCCTCTTCAGATTTGCAAAGACTCCTTAACTTTTGTTCATTAATCATAGACTCGGTAAGCATTATTCCCACCTTATTATCCACACACCTGGCCAGAACAAAACAACAGAAACAGATTTTGATCTGAAGTGCAATGTGACTTCACATCTGGCCACATCAGTCATAGAACCAATATTCTCAGCGTGATTGTTGAGCAGCTTATTTCATGTAATAATAGGAGGGTTAACATCAGCATTCCTGTGTGCTGACTGTCATCTCTGCCAGGGCACCGTCTGATTACAAGTTGTTCCACTGGCAAGCCGTCTCAGCTATTACTCTGATTACAAAAGTCACTGGAGGTTAAGCTCTCCACAAATGTAATCCTAATGTTTGGGAGTGATTGCTCTCTTTCCTTTGCGAAGATGAGTTTTACTGGTAAGAAAAGGTTACCATTTGGTATAAGGATTGTTTTGTCCCCTCTTGACCTGATATTGAAAATAACCTAGCTAAGAGAGATAGAAAATAATAAAGGCATGGCTCCACTGTTTCATTAGGCATCTATGGGGAGATCTAAGTTAGGAAGTGTTGCCAACAGATTGTCCCAGTCTGATGATTTTGCTCTTCAGGTTTCTGGAGTAATCTAAAAGTAAAACATAAGGATGTATCAGAACAATAAACAGTTGAGTATTCTAGAAAACACCGTCTGTATTCACCACACACCCCCTGTTAAGGGGTCCAGATGAGCTTTCCATTGTATTGTAATATTTTCTCAGTGATTAACAGGTATCTCCCTACAAGGCTGATCTTGAGATAGCCTTGCCCCTTGACGTAGTAGCTCCTACACACTGTCCAGTGAGGTAATAATTCCCTGAGGTCCTCAGCCTGTGTTATCTAGCTAAGTCACAGAAGCTACAGGAAGTGACTGACAGGTCCAGACCTTACAGTAACTGGAAGCTGGTTAGCAGTAGCATCAGCTGCAGCAGCAGGACACCATGCTGTTTCTCCAGAGACATTGTGTACACAAGTGGTGACCTCCCACAGATGTACTGAACACTTACAGACTGCCTCTTTTTTATCTGAAAAGCTTCCAAAATAAACCAGCTTTAAAGCAACAATGACACTCTGGTTTAAGAGTCAGCATGATTGGTTTCTTATGTAAAACAATGCTTTATTGCTTTGTAACAAAGCTGAGAACTTTACTCTGCTTTCATGAGCACGGCTGGGATATGATCAAATGTGCTATATAGACTACATTTAAACCCAAAGTGGACTTTCTGACTGTCCCTCTTGATCTGTGACTGAGAATGTTGCTGTGTGCAGCTCTTGAATCCTCTGGTGATTATATTATAAATAGCCAGTACATTTTCTCTCATTTTCTGCTATATTTTCCCTTCATGATTGAATAACTATGATGAAAAATATATGCTTTTCATGATTTGCAGTAATAGGTATAACTGTTGATTGAAAAAATGTCCAGACATTTTGTTAATGCACAGTTAAAATGTACTGTTTATATCCAGCTCCATCTACCCTTTGCCTTGTATTTAATTATGGACACAAAGAAAAACCTCGGGCCTCCTGTTGTTAAATAACAGAACAGTGAAGTGCACATCTCTGTGTAATATTGTGATTACATCAAATGTGTATAACACAGGGGCATATTTTATCTTCTTCTTATCAAAATCAATTTTCACAAGCAGTTTTCTGCCTTTAATTCCTTGGGCTTATGTGAACCAAGATACGAAGGATTACCAATATTAATATTGAACATTTCAGACCCTTGCTATTATTTTTAATATCAAATGTTCCGTGCAAATCCCCTATGTTTTATTATTTTAATAATAATATTCTGCTGATGAAAGTGATTTCTCCCCTCCAGCCCTCCAGATGTTAGTCATCCAGTAAAATAAAGATGAGGATCATTGCGTTATTAAGAAAAAGAGCAAATATTAATGTGAAGAAGATAAAGATCGGGGAGGAAAGAAGATTATGCCTGGGTTTTATTTTCCCAGTTTACGTCGGGGAGCAGTCTCTGTCTATGTAAGACACTAAAAACAGCAGACAGCTCAAGACATATTATATCTTGTAATCCCACCCCAGTTCAAATCCGTTCTGAAGTAGTTTGTGTCCATGTCCGCAAGTGAAATCCCCTCATGAATTAAGATAAAGGTTTAAAAATCAAATCAATTCCCAGAAAATAAATAAAACACTCTCCTCCTCCCCCTCCCTGCCCCGTGACAGAGGTGAAGGAAGACATTACTGAGCCATCTTTTTGTAGGACGGTCAGATGCTCTGGTGAGATTAGGCTGATGTTCTTTCTCCTAATCCCCCATCTTGCCGAGATCCTAAAGCACTTTTGGGAATGATGCTCACAACATGTCAGATTGGGAAGCGCTGGGCTGGGGGATCAGCAGTTGTCACACACTGCCCATCTCCTTTATTCGATCCTATTGTTCACTTCCCAGGCTGTGTCTCCACACTGCCAAGAGGTCACTCCGTGGGACAGCCTGTCGGTCCGTCTGGCCGCCTGTCTCATTCCGCTGCGTGCTGCACAAGGGGTTAGCCTGAAACAAAGCATGCACATATGGCATTGCTTTGCATTGTGCTCGGTTTTGTAAGCGTCCAACGAGCTGGCAAGTGTGGAGCGAGCCTGACGTCAGGTCATTTTTCAGCGAAAGACAGACGATGACGGGGATGTGAGAATTACTGGCGAACTGTGAGTTTTCGCACAATTCTTCTGACCCATTACTTACTGCAGGTCATCGTTTTTGAGATTCATGTTTGGAATTAGGCATAAAGGAAGGAAACATTTTTGCAAGATCCGGGTTCTCTGCCTGAGTTCTCCTCCTGTGTAGTGGGGTCTCTGGTGGATAGACTGGGTCTCTGTCTATATGCGAAGCACTCTGGGGTTCTTTGGGCTGCAGAAGAAATGCAATTAATAATTGCTTTGCGGTGCAATTGAGTGGTGCTTTGTACAGTGTTCATGATGTAAAAAATGCCAATTCCAACTGTAAAACATTGCAAGTAGGAAAGGTAGTTTTCATATTAATTATGACTCTTCTATTCAAGGAAGATTTTAAAAAGCTTCATCTGCCTCAGCAAATAAGGTGCATGATTAACAATAATGACAAGAAAGATATTCCAGTTTCCTTTGTTTTTGTTTTGCAAAACCATTTACGGCTTAATCCATTCGGTTGTTATTTTTAACCCCAGAAACAGTGCAGAAGTCAGTATTTCTTGTTGTGTCTGACAGACATTGCTGCAGCCCCCACTCCATTTTCTGTGAATGTGAATGTTCAAAGGAAAAACTAATTTCTCTTCCCACAATTTCGTGTCTTCAAATGCACCTCTCAGGCTAATTGAGCACTTTAGCAAACCTGGATGACTGAAGCAAATTAGGCTAGTGTTTGTAAATACACGTTTTGTCTTTTATTTCCCCCAGGAGACAGACAGGATGAGAATTACCGTGGTTTGAAAAAGAAAAATGATAGCTGTCATTGTGTGCATTATCGCAGTGCAGACCTGAAAATGACAAACAGCAAGAACAGTAACAATGACAGGGTTTGAGAGGCAACAGAACAAGCTTTCCAGCTCCTCTTCAAATTCCCACTAGTGTTTGGCAGTGCCAGTGACGGGCCCCAAGATCAGCTGAGAAAGGCTTCCTGGAAGTACCTTCTGTAAAACAATATACTGTATGAATATATACAAGTAATGAAAACCAGAACTGGGCAACAGATTTAGATTGAGAATACTGAGGCCATTACCAGTAAGAGTAATCACTTTGAAAGCTATATTGTCTTTGACATCATCCTCTTTGTTTTTCAGCTAACAAATGTTTTTCTTCTTTATTACACTAGTTTAGCGTTTTCATTGTTTCTCCGACCCCATTGGCATCTGTAGTCACTGATTCCATTTGGATTTTCATGTTCTGGGAGGTGTGCTGGTTAGTTGTACTTGCTGAACCCAGTGGGATCCTGGGTTCGATACCAGGCTGGCAGGACATCCATGCAGAGCTTGCATGTTCTCCCCTGGTGTTCTAGTCTCCCCTATTGAAAACCGTGCTAGCTGGGTGTGATGGGATTTCTCAGCTGTCCTTATTTTTGTGGCTCGGCAATGAACCAGAGTCCCATCCAGGGTGAGAGCAGTCTTGAGCTCTCAGTCCCCTCTTGTGCATTATACTGCCTTGGCCCTCTCTAGATGCGATGTTATGTTTTTGCACACGGGGGTTTGTGCTACACTTTTGTTACTGTCCTCAGCAATTATTCACAGGGCTTTCATATAATGGACGTTTCATTTCACTCACAGCAAGGAATGTGCTCCATGTCAGTGGGCTCACAACAATGGCAAACACTGGAGAGACTGATGCAGTGCCAAGTGTCCCACAGATAAAACAAGCGAGTACAGGGCTGATGGTAAAACGCAGGCAGCTACAGGGAGCTCTCTTGGAAGCTGAGCTCCATAGCAGGCAGATGAAAACATAACCTGTCACTTTCCATCCCATTAAACTAGCTATGGGCCATGTGCTCGGCTTGCAGGGATCAGCATCAAGTCTCTTCAAGCTGCGCATTTGCACTCTCTCACATGGAAGCATGAATTATTCATGGGCTTTATGCACATACCATTTAAAGCGAAAATACTCAGCGATGTGAACACACACACACACACACTGGATACACAAACAAACTACTTGTGCACTACTGGCAGAAAGTATGTACGTTCATATTCCGTTATACTGTACATTGTTTAATTACCGGGTCACTTAAAACAGTGAGAGAGGCACAGAATTTACAGTGCCTTTCTGTCTACTATTAATATGTATTAGGACACTCATCAAGCCACTCCGAGAACCATCAAGTGACAATTTCTGCATCGCTCTTGTTTAGTGGGGCTCATCAACTGCTATTTGCAGTAATGCATTGAAATGAATATGCACTCAGTCAGGATATTTGGTTAGTGCCGGGATTTAACATAAATTAAATTAAGTATATGTAAAAGAGCTCTTAAAAATAGATGCTTTTCAAGATTAATCATTTCCATCTTTTGGCAGAAGTTACATCAGTCTTTGACCTTAACTTCTCCCTTTCTTTCAAGCACTGTATGAAACAATGAATGACAAGTACAATTTTTTACATACCTCTGTAAATGCATTGCATTCCTTTTTATTGATCGTTTCTTCAAGTGCATCTTAAACAGAAGTAACTAAAGACTGGTTTTCTTACATCATTGTAACCTCCATTAATTTAAGCTATGATGAACAGTATTTCTTTGTGCAGCATTCTTAACGGTGCTATATTATTTATCCAAGTACAATATCAAAAATATTTCCTTACTTAAAAACCATTTTCTACAGTTGCTTGTAACACCTTTTGACATCACAAGTATACATTAACAAAGTAACAAAGCGTATTATCTCTGCGGCTTTGTATGCTTAGAAAGAAAATGAAGAGGTCTTCAAGGGAACCCTGACAGGGAATGTACAATAGGAATAGTCATTATCTGTGTGTAGCGGCGAGGCAGTGCACCAGGGACACCTTGTGGATGTATGATGTAACCACATACATATCAGAAGCATGTGCATGCGCAGAGGTTGCAGTTCGGCCCATCAGGCTTGTGGTATTTTCTCCGTTTAATACTTCCAAGGTTTAGATGGCACACAGCCGTCATACTGCTGATGTCTTGATAACATATTGTTCCTTCCTGCATTGTTTTCTCTTGATTTTCACCAGGTTTACCTTCAACAGGTGAGATCACCTTCTCACCTATACTCATTCAGTCCTTTCACTCATTAAGTGATCAGTGATTTGGTGCATATTCAGCAAAGTTACCCGAGTATATCGCAGTCGGTCATGAATGGCCAGGAGGACTTTCTGGAATGCAAGTCAATACCTCTTTCCCACCCCCACCCCCCATCTGCTAACAGAAAGGCATGAGCCAAACACAGGAAAGGCTGCTGTGACCCAGCTGGCCTGGGCAGTGTGGGGGTCTGTTCTGCATGGAGACACATGTACATGTAAATCACTGTACCTGCCCCCATGCTCCATTAACTCATTTTTCTGTACACATTCCCAGTTCCTACCATTCATTCATTTACTGTTCATTACTCAGATGCCAGGCAGAGAATTGGTTTACATTTTCTGTGCATCTTCTTTCACAGCAGCAATGAAAACTACTTTACGTTTGGAATTAATTCAAGATTACCAATCTATGAGAGCAATAACGGATTATCATCCTAAAAGAGGTGTGTTAAGGCAAGATTATCTACATTAGATATCCATTTGACCCACTGAACTACACAACCTACCCACAGGCTGAGCATCTGTGTATGTTTTTAACCACATTAGTGCTGTTGGATATTGAATGAGAAAGAGAAAAAAAACTATCATTCCAATTTTACTAATAAATTGATCACAATAGGCAAGACGGTACCCATAAAATGCAGAAAATACACAATTTTTCCTCTCTGTCTCACAGGTAACTGTTCTTGTATACTCCAGGTTGTGTGTTAAACAAAGAGAGACAGGGAGAGCCTCAGAATTAATCCTGGAAAGGGAAGCACAAGGCTGTTAAAAATTATAGTTTCCTTATTGGCCAGTATGGCTGGTTTTTATTTTTCTTTGTGTTGAAAAAAAGACAACACAATGAAAGCAGCGCTCTAAAAGTTGCAATAGCTTTGTAAAAAATCCATTCAGATTCATTATACCTTTGCATTTCTACTGGATAATTATCTTTTCTTCCAAAACAAAGCTGATGATCGATACAGTGTAATAAAATAAACAAAGTTCCAAATTCTTGAACACGTCTTTTTGCACCTTCATTGTGACTCAAACTGCAGTTACTCCAAAGGAAGTAAGGGTCTTGGGGAAAAAAAGACGTGATCTAAAACACAAAATAAAATAAAATAAAATAATAATAATTGTGCCTCCGAAATTATAAGACTTGCAAAGATGCCTATTAAATTAAATGCCTGAGAGTTTTAATACATTGGCTAAATAAAACAATATCACAATAAACTTGTGACATGTCCTGTTCAGACCTTGGATGATTTATTGCTTTGGAGTTCCATTACAGTATACATTTAGATATTTTTATAAATACATGTATAATTTTTAAATCATTGATTTACAGTATGTTGTATCCTAATTTCCAGTAGTTCCTCTGTTGCTCCCTGCAGGATCTCATTTTAATAGTTGGAAGTACCTTATCTACATCTGTGGAGGCCTGGGTGCGCTGTGACTCTGGAACCTAGAGGAAAACACATGAAGAATGATGTGAGTCTGCACAAGGCGTACGAGTGAACTGACTTCTGTGTTCAGCTGGGCTGAAGAGTGCCGATGGACCCAACCCAGCATCTCACCAAGCTTGCCCAGTGCCCTTTCACAGTGGGTGAGTCTCACCGGTTTGTCGTTTTCCAATCACACTATTCAGCAGACTCGGAGATGCCTGCCTCCTACCTTCCATCTTGCTCCTGCGACCGGGGGTATGGGTACAGCAGCCGAGCAGGATGGTGCGGCAGCAGGGATGAGGGATGCAGGTTCCCTCCCAGTCCTCGTGTCTGTCTGTAGGCCAGCTCGGAATGAATGCTTCGGGAGTGCACAGCCAGAAGCCCACTGTTGTGTTTCTGTTGTTTTTTGTCTGTAGAAGGAAGCACTGATCCTTTATATAACACCACTGCTGCAGGCTGACCGATACAATACCCCAGCTAAATATAAACTATATTCGATATTTTCTGTATTCATTAAAATCTGCTTTTGTGCAACAGTTTGCACACAAGAGCCACTCTGAGCTTTGCTCCTTCTTTGGTTTTCTAAGCTATAAAGGCCAGCAAGAAGGAAAAGGCATTGATAGTGAGGTGCCCCGCATTTGAGACGTATTCTAGTCAAAGATTGTTAAAATGATCCAATGATTTTCAGTTCCATGACTGCAGTGGAAAAAAAAGCACACCTAAATTTACAGATGCAAATCTAAAAAAATGAGTGTGAAAAGAAACTGTGCTGTGTCTTACGTCTGTGTGTGTCGTGAGGCAGGGCATCCTCTAAACCGCAGGGCAACATGTGATCATGGCGGCCCAGGAAGTGATGCAGAGTCCCTGGCAGAGGCAGGTTGGTCCCACGCAGGGGTGCAGCTCGTGCCACAAGGGGCAGCAGTCCTGGGACACACAAGTCCAATGCAGCGCTTGTTGATGGGGAGCACTAATAAACATAACACAGCAAAAACATGACACCACTCCATCTTGGCTCTGAGAAAGCGCAGCTCTTGGGCCTGTCTGTCTGAAATGACACTCCGAACAAGGTGACAGATCTAGGATCTCATGGGAAAGTTTTCGATGGGACAGTCAAGAGCTAGATTTAAACATTTTCTTATTGTTTTTTTCCTCAAATTTCTCTCTGTGTATTAAGAAGCCAACAATAATTAGAACATTTTTTAAGATTTATTTTAAGATAAATATATCGTGCATTTTTAAGATATATTATTAAACTTATGAGACAACGCATTTAGTAAACGTGGCATCACAATCCATCACTTCCTTTACAGACTTAACCATCTGTATTACTACACTTATATTTTTTAAATATCTATAAACCCATCTTCATATCTTACACAAGACTTAGACATTCAGTTATTAATAACCTGCACACAACGGTAAATATAGTAATACTTTAATGCTTTCTTTTAAAAAAAAATTCTACCTTTGTAATGCAGTTGAGAAAGTTTTCTGCATAGTGTGTAAATATTGTCGTATCTGGTACAGTTAGACATTCCTGCTAGGACTGTGATTATGAAGCCAGTCACAAAGTTTCAGTTTTCTAGGCAGCAACAGGTGCAAAAGAAATACCTTGACATTTTCAGTTTCTTATGCCAGCAGCCAATGAAAATTTCACCCATGAAAATAATTGAACATGTCACAGAAGGTACAGACAAACACAGCTTATCGCCACAAGAACTACTGAGGTTCTTAGAAAAAAAAGTTAAGGCAAAAATAATGGACATATAAACTAGACAAGTATCATCATCTTCACAATGGTTTTTATGTTCAGCGCTGCTTCAAGTGCGCAGCTGTGGATGACATTTCAACATACTGTATAACCACAGGGCTAGAATTAGACCTATTGTTCAAAATTAAGTTATAATGTTATAAAGTTCACCATCTTGCAGGTTAACTTGCAGAGCTAAGGTTTCATGTTCACTGATAATTACAGCAATTTGTATTGTTACGATGCTATCAAAAAAGAACAGTGACATTAGTAATCTGTGATCTGTAAGCTCGGACCACAGTTTTTAAGTGCTGTGCGCCAAAGGCTATTTTACATGGTTATCTGAAACACTGCTGATGCATAACCAAGCAAACATTATTGTCGATATCTGCAGTTCAGTAATTTAATCATAATAAAATGACAATCATTCACTTTAATACAAGCAGAGATAAATGTGCTCTAATATGCAGCCCACTGCACAATGTATGGAGACTTTAATGAGCATGTTTTTTCCAAGAGTCTGCTCTCTCCCTTACTCCCACATCTACTTAACAAGCAGAGGGACTGACTCTTTCCAGGCTAATAGGGGGTAAAGCCATTGGTGCATCATCAGGAGTACAGATTTCATCTAATCAGTGAGATGAAGCAAAGCTTAACTGCTTTTAATTTACTACAGGAATAGCATTAGATTAAATACCTTTCCTCTTATTGGTTGCTGATCTGAGCTTCTTTTCCTTGTTCTTTTTTCACATGTTTTTTTAAGCTGATATGATATAGCCTCTTTTTAGGTTTATACTGTACATATCATTTAGGTTTATGCATATCCCCTCTTTTGGGATTTTAGGTCAATGTCAATAAGAAAATCAAGTGGGTTGCCTTTTCCATTTGTGATCAGAGCTGGATGAATATGTTGTGGAAATGGAGTCGCATGTAAAAAACAGTATAAATGTGTATTAATTTGCAGTGACAAAAGAAGACAGTGTAGCAGCTGCGCAGCAGCTCCAGTAGAATAACATGATAATCTGGATAAAAACAAACTAATTGAAGCATAACACATTGCGTCATCTCAAGCTGAAATTTTATACCGAAGGCATTTTTAAAAATAATTACTAACAATTCAGCTTCAGTAGTTCACAAACTTCAGAATCGGCTCCCGTTAACAAAAACGCTTTGTCTCCTGAAAAAAGGGCGCACGTTAAACTGGTGATCGAACGGCGGGAATACAGCGGTACTCGTGTCCGAGCTGTAGCAAGTGCGAGCACAAACGGCTCCAGCCTGTGGACTGAGGAGGGCGGGGAGCAGAGCAGCACCCTGGAGAATCTCACACCGTCTCTCCGAGAGAGGGGGACCTAAATCTTGTGCTTTTCACGCAATTACTCCATGAGGTGCAGCCTAAATGCTAGGAAATCCGGAGTATCCGGGGTATCTTTCACACAAATTATTCTTCCATATTTAAACTTATTTGACTTAACGGTTCAATTGATGCATGGATAAAACCATCACAGGGGCTGGGTAGGATAGATGCAGACTATACTCTGACTATAGATAATAATAATAATAAACTTTATTTTATATAGCGCCTTTAAAGGTGGCTTCTCAAAGCGCTTTACAGGATGACAATAACAATAAATAAGAAGACTACAACAATAAATAAGAAAATTTCACAAGACAGGACACAATTATAATTACAACAATACAACAATAACAATAGAGGAGACCGTGGAAGATGGTATTAAGAAGAGCAGAGGGGTGAAGAATGGAACCAGTTAAGTAAAGGCTTTTCTGAAAAGGAGGGTTTTGAGTCTGGATTTGAAGGAGTTTAGAGAAGGTGACTCTCTAATATCCTTGGGCAAAGAGTTCCAGAGCTTGGGGGCATAGCAGGAGAAGGCCCTGTCGCCCATACAATGTAGACGGGCTTGGGGGACAGTAAGGAGGGCAGAATTTGAAGAGCGGAGGTTGCGAGGTGGGGAGTAGGGCGATAAAAGTTCAGACAGGTATTGAGGTGCCAAGCCATGTAAAGCCTTGTAGGTGAAGTATATATATAGACTATAGATGCAGACTATACTCTGCAGATAGATGCAGAGTGGGTTCCAGATAGTAACTCAAAATAACAAATTCATGTAAGAACACAAAGAATTCCACCTCAAACAGGTGATGATGTCTGATGACGTGAGCCGCTCAGGTCACCTGCTGCGGTAGCTGGAACACGTATGCACGTGCTCACCTGTGTTTCGGCACAGAGCAGCTCGGCCCGAGCCCTCTCCTCCAGCGTCACTGCTGCGCCGTCCAGGACCTGCAGGCCAGTCAGCCGCAGCACCACGGCCGGGCGGTGGAGAGACTTCCGAGCTACCTGACAGGGGAGATGGCGGAGGTCACTGCCCTGGAGCACAGGGGTGCATCACACATACCGGACAGAATTCTGCCGGCAAAGCAGATTTTTCACCACGGGTCCCAAACAGCACGTGAAAATGTTAAGATTCCCAATAATAATTAAATCATCCTTGTATCCACCACTTTGCAGCTCGTCTTAACAAGTTCGCCGTTCAGTATCACATAAATAATTCTGAAGGGTATTGACAAGAAGGGCCTGTATGAGTCGCCATGAAGCTTCTCTAAGCCACAACAGCGGCACAAAAAGGAAGGAAATCTGTTTACCACTGACCACTCAGCCGGTGGTGTCCTCAGATGAACCTCAGACAACACTTTTGCCATTAATCAGCCGTGAAACTTGGCAAACATCTCTGCAAAGGGTCGCTCTGTGCTAAGTGCGAGGCTTAGCCATTCTGGGGCTGGAGCAACGCTTATCAGCGCAGCTGATATAGCCCTGCTGGCAGAATCAAGACGGATAAATGCCTCATAGGGAAGAAGACAGAGCTGACCTCAGTTCCCACAAGACACAGTGGAGTGGGGTCTCTGCTCGATTTCCAGCCTTGAGCCCCAGTGGAATTATCTCATGCTGCCGACAGCAGGGTTTAGCGTCTCAAAGGGCACTTTGGTCAAGCCAAGTGAGATTATTCACTTTCTGGGAGACACACACACAGGCTGGCCTGCAGAATACACAGTTTTACAGTACATGCATCTCGCATTGAATTCTTAGAGCTGTATCTGCTGTGCTTCTGTGCCAGCTTTACCACCAGATGGGTCCTGAACCCAGTCCAATAGTGTCTGATAACTGCTATGCCATTTGGTCAGTGGATTTGTGTTTGATCTGGGCCAGTTTGAGGTACAGCAGATGTATGACCGTGTAATCTCTTAATTTAGACCTCAAATGTTGTTGTTCTCTCTGTACTGAGCTACAATGAGTACACACATACTTTAGTTTGCTTCTTTCTCTCCACTGCTAGCTGGATCTAATTTGTGGTTAGTTTGAGAAACAGTTGCATCCTGAAAATAAAGGACTGCTGGTTGCGTTGATCCATTTTCTGGGAATAGAGTTCTTTGTGTTTCTGTGAAGAACTGGAACGTGCTGTTATTTCTGACCTAAAATCTCAGATGTTTAGCTGCATGAATGAAAAATACAACCTTCCAGCCATTCCAGCCTTCAGGAGTTTCAGTTTAAAACTACACTAACAAATAGCAGTACTCACTGGATTGCCCACAACAGAAAGCTCAGTAAGTGAAGGAAGGACTTCTAGCTTCTCAAGCTCAGAGACGTCCTGTATCAAAAAAAAAAACACAGTGACACACAGCTGAGTAATAATTATTATTTGCTTGGCATTTCATCAGAAATTACTCATGTTCCACAGCATTACCATTACTTTTTAAATTTACAACACAGTTTATGAGCGATGGAAAATACAACATTTCTATGACAAACTATCATAAGAAAAATGCAGTGTGTCAGGGGTCAGGCTGGGTGGACTTCTAGGAACAAGAAGGACTTCTCACTGATGCTGTGTTCAATTTATGTAGTTACAGTAAATAACCTTATCCTTTTATAGGTTAGACAAAATATTTAATTTGGCCCTTTGAACACAGCAAAGATAATGTGTGTGACCATCTCACACGCTCTTTACACTTGAGCCACTGCATTAGAGGGGATGTTGATTTGGCTTACCAATCATGTCAGGGGAAACAGAGGGACTTAAAGCCAACTTTCCAGAAGTGATGCAGTTCGTATATGAATACTGTAACTTACTGAAAACTAATGTTTTCATCTCAAGAAAGAAAACAATCTTACAATGATAGTTAAATGCATAATGTACATGGGGAAAAGATTGCATTTTTCTGAAAAATTCATCGCTACTGTGTTCGTTACCTGACCTTTACAAATAAAGATTTGTGATAAGGCGATGGCCCAGGTATTGGGTTGGTCTTAGAGTTAGGGCTACATACAGCGATGGAGCCAGAGTACAGATTTTATGCTGGATAAGTACTGGAGCCAGGATTAGAGTTGAATATAGAAAAGTGCAAGGAATTATTATTAATTAATATTAATTCGACACCCCAAGAAGGCTCCACAGCCAAAACATTGTGTTTCTTTTGTTCTCTTTTCAGCATGGAATAAAACTTTACTTGTTCCTTTGTAGCCTATGCATGCTGACGCAGCTACAGTACCTACTTAAACTACTTATTAATTAATATTTTTGTAGAGACAGGACCCTCCATTATCGACTTAAAATAATGGCTGAGGGCTGGATAGTGGCTAAGTGGGCTCATAGAGAATGAAAATCTGAAGCCCCTGCAGGTCTAAAGAACTGGGGATTGACACCAGGGCGTGGTCTGATGTCAGGGCATGTGGCTGTGGAGGCTGGGCCGCCGTACCTGGATCTTGTTCATGCCCAGGAACAGCCTGCGCAGCTCTGTCAGGCCCTGGAACTGGCCGAGCTCCCGGATCCTGTTTTCTTCCAGGTGCAGCTCAACCAGCGCCGCCTGGCTGGCGAAGGAGGCCTCGCCCACACTCCTGATGCGGTTGCGGTCCAGCACCAGCTCCCGGAGACAGCACAGCCCCTCCAGCCCCTCGATCTGGCAGATCTCGTTACCTGCCGGGGAAACAGACCCTTTCTTCACAGCTCTCAGTGCGCGCCAGGCCTGCTTTTACACTGCTAAGAGAGAGATGCAGTGGAGCCTCACAAGATGACCCATGCTGCACTGTCTGTGACTACACACCTCAAACATGCCATTAAAAAGGCAGGCTGGGCAAGTTAGTGCATAAACATCCACATCAGCTGCCTAAGAAATTCTATTTGCTGATCACGTAAGTGAGACTGTAAATGATTAAAGTTTTTTGCAGGATGTATAAAATGCATTTTCTTTTTCAATTTATTGGAAAATTGGCACAAACATCTCACTATAATATATACATGCAGTATACAGTACATCACTTAAGGTTCTTATTCTTCAACATTAAGTAGCCTAAAAACAAAAATATCATACTGGTGGCTGGTTTGTGGCTTTGATGATTCTGAGTAGACTGGTGACCGGGAGAAAGCATGTTCTGTGCACGCGTGTTGTGCTTTTCTTGTACTTCTGATTAAATTTAGATGTTGCTGTGGAAACGGCTACATAATAGAAAAGTGTTGTTCCTTTGAATATTCCTTGTTCAGAGCAACAATTTCTGTATTCTGTACATGCAGTGGGTTATTACAAACCCTGGAGAGCTTTATAGCTAATCAGCCTGCAAGACTCCCTGCCACATCCATTTTAATACGCCATAGCAGGTTTAGAGTCATACCGAAGGCAAACAGAAGTAAATTACATTAAAGGATGTTTAGAAATGTACAAAATAATGACATGTACATAATGTTTTTTTTCCTTCTGTGCATAAATGTAAGCAATAAAAAAAAATGTTGTATTGCTGTTTGAAATCAAAGCTGAAAGTAAAAGCCTTACCTTGAAGAAAGAGTGCTTTTAAATTGGTGAGCCTGCTGAGCTGGAGATGAGCCAGACTGGAAATCCCATTGTGGCTTAAATGCAGTACCTCTAAACTCCCCATTAGTGGGTTCAGACTGTTGCTGGTTGCCTGATCCCTGAGAGGAACCACAGACAAAAAGAGCACTGACAAGCTCCACAACTTCCTGGCCATTCATGGATCACCGCAGGTAAGCCGTCAGTCTGTCTAGTATGCTGGTCCACACAGGTGTGATTCCCGCCGTTTCACTGAGTGACACCGTTTTTCTTTTTCTCTTGACCAGCAAAGAATTAAAGGGGAAGGGCAGCTGCAGAAGTCCCATCGCACATTGAAAAGAGTCCTAGCCTTGATGTCCAGCACAGCTGAGAGCAAATGTGAAGCAATGCTGCTTCCCTCTGGATCTGAGCAGAACTACACCTAAAGTCACAAATCTAGCCATGACGAGCAATTAAAAAAAAACTAACATTTTCCATCAGCAACAAATGGCACTACACAAGAGGAGAGAGGTGAGTTAGTAAGAAAACCTGCGTTTGAGAGCTGTACATTCTTACCTTGATAAAAAAAAAATCATTTTATATCTCCCATCTAGAACATAGTTAAAGTAGCTGCTTTTGAGTACTTGTGAAACATTTCAGAGCAGGCAGCTGTTTATCTCTGCGCCTCCATACCTGCAAACTTTGGAAGTTCCTTGCTGTCCATAGCCACTGGAGGTCACCTTCTGGTATAGCATCTGCCTGTTGTTAAGATGGGTTTGCAGCTTCTGTTTTGGCAGGATGGACTCAATGCGGTTGTGATTCAGACACAAGACCTGTAAAAAAAAAGGTGGCTTGTTTATATTGGTTGACTTTTGCTCTCTTATGATAATGCTCAGAACCATCAAAGCATTTTATTTGCTATGAAGAAAAGTCAGCTGCCTGTATTTCTTACTTGCTGCTAGTCTTTCCAAACACGGCTTTAAAGTCATGGGGCCTGCACTTCATTAGGTAAGCAGATAGAGTGCTGTCTCCCTAAAATATCCGACCACCATGAAAATGCAGCGTCATTCCCACTGCAGAAACTTTGGAGTTATCATCTCCATATCACCGACCTTTATCAAGTTGATTATCGTACTGGATTCTACTTAATGCCAGGAGGTGAAATATCTAAAAAAAAATTAAATATCAATAGAATTTATTTTCGAAATGCAGAAACCAGTGACAAAATGTTTTCTCAGCGCAGTCCCAACTATTGTTTTCAAGGGATCTGCCTCTTCTCATGGCCAGGAGCTTATTCCTCCATGGGAACAACAAAACTATAGGTGGAGTTCTTACTTTCAAGTTAGGGAGGAAGACCAGGCCACTGAATGAGGTCAGGTTGTTGTGCTCCAGGTTAACGCTCCACAGATTCTGGAAAAGATCTGCTGGAGCCAGGTCCACAGTCCTAGGAATCAAGAACTCATTGGCAACTTGGGAGCTGTAGAACATGTTACAGCTCCAAAGTGGCTCAACAAGTAAAGACATGAGAGCAGGACACAGGCTGAGCCCAGTGGCATTACAGTACAGGCATTATAAGTGGACTGAGACGCACCACTCCTCCCATTAATGCAAACTCTCCTGCAAGGCACTTTAAAACTGCTAGTGTGTCCAAAGATGTCAGTTTCCCCGCAGGTGGGTTTGTCAAGACTTCACACTTGATCGCGCAGTAGGGGAGTCATAAATGGAAGCTGGGTCATAAACATCATGACTTCAAATTGCATAAGTACATAATTCTTTAAAAAAAAAAAAACATTAAAAAACTCCAGTCTAGCTAAATAAAAAAATAATATATATACTGTTTTGATTATATATCCCAACACTAAATTTAAATACCAGTAGCCAAATGAGCAAGATGGTTTACAAATGAGAAAACCATCTCAAACCGTTTTGTTAGGTTTGGAAGCTGAGCCTGCGTCACTGCTGATGTTACTTAATGAACTGTAATAGATATACAGTAGTTTATGCCCAAGGTTTGTGAAAACATGGCTTGAGGTAACTTTACCAAAAGAAGCGCAGTACCTGATTGCCAAAGATGGCAAGCACAGCTCGGAGATTTCAGTGTAATTCGAGTGGCCTAGTTTCTCAGCCACCATATCGGCCGTCAGCCTTCCTCCAAAGACATCCTTGGCATGCTCACTTTCAGACACCTCCTGCAAGACGGCACAGCCCCTGTAATCCACCCTGCACGCTAAGTGTCCCTTGTTTCAGAATTCACAATTCAGTTTAGTTGCAAGTGGTGATAGTACTGTACATACTTTTGCTTCTGTGAAGTTTTAATAGCTTACATTACAACAAAACTGAGAACAGAAGTTGGCAAAAGGTTAGGAAAATCCTGTTTTACAAAACACTCTTGACACAAGCACGTGAAGCTTTACTTACCACAGCAATACCATCAAGAGCCTTGAGAGACGGCAGGTGGAATATCACAAAAATCCTGTAGTTTTCCTGCTTGCTAATTAGAGGGTTCCCATATAAATCCAGAATAAAGAGGTTCGTCAAGCCCTAAAGAGGAGGAGCAAGGAAAGACTTACTATGGGACTTGAATTTCAAGAGCAATGAGATCTGCAGCAGACCTCAGGGGATTCAGCAGATGCTGAACACCATGTTACAAGGATAAAAATCCTAGCTGAATCTAGGCTGCCTTTGGTTCTTTTATTAGAGTAACACTAATCCCAGTCAAGGTCAAAAGTCAACTCTGCCTTTTAGTACCCAGAAGCCCTTACTATGCCCTTGATAAGGAACCTATTTTACTGATGTCTGTCTTTTGTGAAGGTGTAAACTTCTCCGCAAACAGAAAGCACCTGCTCACTGTGTCCCAGAGGAGCTACTGTAGATCATTTTGTGAAAAAGACAAAGTACACCTGGTGTGCCACAAAGCATGCAGGGAGTCAGAGGCTGTCGAGATTTAGATGTTTGTTTGTTTTTTAATTCAATGGCCCACAGAGTTCAAAGCAGCATGAACAAGAAGATGTTGTACCTTCAGATGGTATATGTCCCAGCCTGTGCCAATGTTGTTATTTCCAGCGTAGAGCTCGATCAGCGCCCTGGCCTGGTGCAGGCCTTGCAGGGAGCCGATTTTGTTACTTTCCACAGAAAGGAAGTGAAGGTGAGGCAGCTTCTCCAGAACTGCCTCATCAAGAGTTAGCAGCTGGTTCCCATTCAGACTAAGCCTGGTCAGTCTTGTCAGCTTTGAAATTCCTTTAAAAAACATTGACAATTGAATTACCTCCTTCAATATTCTGTTGCTTTAGATAGGCACTTTATTGTCCACTACTGTGGAAATTAGTCTTTCGCTTCTTCCATAAAATGTACAAGAGACACAAGCAAAACATACAATTACATAAAGTATGTGAAACCATGACAGTATATAATACATAAATGAATAGATTAATAATTAGGTAGTGGGGGGGACTACATTTACATACTACATTCATTGAGCAGCTTTATTGCACAGGGGACAAAAGACTTCTTACAAATGTATTTATTTGAATTTCATATCCTATAGTGTCTCCCTGATGGGAAAATAGTAATTTTCATTTTTATAGTGCACTGTCTGACAGAGGCTATCATGAGTGGGACAGGAAGATTTTCAATGTCTACACCACTTTGAACATGAAATTCGGAACTAAATTGACATTCTTTTTTCGCTTCAGCGATAAAAAATTAGCTGCAGATTATTTCGAGTTAGAAAAAGAGAAACAAAGGTTAACAATGGAACAGGAGGCACTGAACACAATTCTATCACATGCTCTACAACAGTGCTTATCTGACCGTCCAGGCTGGAGATGCAGTTTCCATCCAGACACAGCTCCTCCAGATGCAGGCAGCTATCAAGGCCCTCTATCTTGCTGATGTCATTGTCACTGAAAGACGCCCACCGCAGGTTCACCAGTTTGTCCAGGTTGGCGAGTCGTGTGAGCTTCTGGCCGTCGAGATTTAGTGCGGTGATCTAATCCAAAAAGTTCAAAGCAAGAAATCAGGACCAAAAATCGAATTAATGAAGTACAAAATTATATTAAGCCCATCAGTGACACAATGTGAAGTTCCAGAAGTGGCGTGTTAAAAGTGCAAGTATTAAAAGCAGGCTGTACTATTGGAAGTATCATTCAATGGGGAATGACACTATACATCAGTACATACTGGAATGCTATTTCCCAGTCTGGTGAGAAGCCCCACACTTACCCGCGAGGTCCAGCCTGGCTCGAGCTCGCCAGAGGGGTCCCAGGGGCTTGGGCTGAGCTGGGTGGAGAGCTGGGCTGCTGACAGCAGGCTGAGGCGGCGGGGCCGAGCCGAGTCTGTGCGGGAGTGAGCCAGCAGCGCCGCCTGAGAGCACAGCACAGCACTGTGGTTCTCCGTCCGCATGTCTCCGAGGTCAAACACCCTCTCCTACACACCCTTACGTTCCAGTAACACTAAGTAACTACAGTGCATGAGGCAGAAATTCATAAACTGTAAAACAGCTATTGAAAATCACCAGCATCGCCCAGGCTCATTCCTGCTATTGTGAGTATCGCACAATGTATTGCTTATATAAAGATTATCTGTAATCCTTCTGGCCCCTATCTTTTCACAATGAAATCATACTGATGCACTCTCCTGAAGATGTGAGCTTGACTGGAACACCACTATTTGACCTTTGAGATGGAAGACTTCCTTGTATTTAAATTTAAAATATATGGGTCTTGATGATTAAACACAACAGCTTTTAATGATCTGCCTTCAACACTAGTATGGGACCTCATCTCTTACTTGATTGATCCTGCACCCAGCAGCCATTTGCACAGAGACAACAGCCTCTTCCTCAGTTACGAGCCTCCCGTCCAATTGAGTGAGTGTCTTCAGTCGCCCAAGTATGGTCATGCGTACCGATTCAGGCTGTAAGAAAGAGAGTAGGGCTTCTCTTATTCCCTCCTTAAGCCCGAAAAGCTTGTCCAATCTGCTGTCAACGCAGCAAGTATTTTATAGTGCATTATCTGGTAAGCTCTCAACTTTGAAGTGTCTGGTATAAACCCTCCCCGTGCTCAACTGTATGTAGGGTGTGGTCAAAAAGCACATATGTGGCATCCCATTTGGAATGCAATAAGAATCCTAGTACAATCTGTAATGATCAAGCAGAAAAGCAAATATCTATGTTATTTTACCCACAAATATTTCCCTTTGCAAATTTAACAAGCACGAATCAAGAATAAAATACCAAGCCCCCTGATGCTGGCTGACATGCAGGAGTCTGCAGCTGGTAAAGTGCCTAACGTGATCCCATCTGCTCAACAGCCCTGCGCTTGTGCGGCCCTGCTGCGCACTCACTCTGTGCCAGGGGTTGTGTTGGATATCTAGGCGGAGCAACATGGGGGCATGTTTGCGCAGGACTGCAGCTTCCTCCCGAGCTCTGGTCAGCTGGTTCCAGCTCAGGTCCAAATGCTTCAGTTTGCTCACTCCCCTCAGGCCCTCGAGGGCCACTATTCGGTTATGACTGGCATCCACATACTCCAGGTTAGGCTGCACAGTAGTACCAAGAGATAAGAGAACATAAGACATAAACGAGAGGATGTCTGGTAGTTCATGCAAAATTGACATCATGGCATTTTGTGAAAGAGGAGTAGATGGTGCAGGGCGATGTGCATTCAAACAGAAATATCCATTTAACATACTTATAATGTATACAAAATACAATCTACAGTTTGTGTGTATATAAAATATAACAGGCCGGTCACTGTTCACCAAACATCACTTATTTTGGTAAGTTTAAATAAGCAATTGTAATGTGACACTCAGGACTCCAAATGACAGATAGATACTTTATCGATCCCGTGAGGGAAATTGCAAATCCACACAAAATAAAAAGAAATACTGTTCTAAAAATGCACATACCTCAAAAACTACGACACCTGCTTCTAGACATAAAACGATGAGAAAGTGACCCAGCAGACAGACAGAAGGAATGGACCACCACTCTGTAGGAATACTACTCCTTACCAGATGTGAGATGTCATCCAGATGTGTGAACTCATTAAAGCTGATGGTAAGTTTCCTCAGGGCTGTCAGGCGTGAGACATCCTTTAATTTATTCAGACTGTTCCCATGAAGATTGAGGACCTGTGGACGCAAGCCAAATACACCTAGTGCAGGATTTGCTATTAAATCCTAAAACAGTAGGATCTCACAATTCCAAATTCTCTACCATTTAATAATACTTTTTTATTTTTCGAATTTACTAATTTTGTTGTACCCACTTTGAATTAGCCAACAGTATTTTACTGATATCTCTGTATGCAGTTACAAGGCAGGCTGGACTTCTTCGACCTGCCCACCACATCACTGGGACCACAGCCCCGCAATGGCATTTAAGCATTTAACCCTCAATCCGAGTAAAAATATGCCTGCAAGTGCCAGCAAAGTGCCTTTCTAAAGTGATATTTCAAACATGCCTGTATAGATGCAAGCCACCGTGATGTCTGGACAAACAGAGAGGAAGATTAAAATAACAACTCAAGCTACATCTGTGAAAAGGGATAGAGATCAGCACAATGGACACTTTATCTAAATCCCCATTAGTCATCCTGCTCAGGCATGACCAGAGATATGGCCAGCTTCCAGCTCACTGAGGCACAGAGACTTTGCTGCTCTCAGCCCCATCCCCTGAACATGGCCTTACTGTGATCTGGCTGAGGACATTGGCTCTTGCCACAGTCAGCATGGTCTTCTCATCCAGGCTGATCATCTTGGGCTTGGGCTTGAGGACTGGCTCCATGCTCAGTGCCTCCTCATCTAGGTGGATGTGGTGTGCAGACACAGCAGATTCCAAGCCGGGCCTGTCTTCAGGACTGTAGGGAGTCCTGAGCTCCGGGAACAGAGGCTGGGGACAGTCCCGAACACGAGCAGAGAACACAGGGCATGTTGGTGCTCATAAAGCCTGAATCTTTCAAAGCGCAACAGTGCCAAAACAATTAAACTATTTACTTCATTCTTCATTCATCCTTCAACCACTGTAGCAATTTTATTATTTCAGCAGTCATAGATTATTCCAAGACCTTTTAACGATATGTATTACTCCCACTGTTCTGTTATTAACACAAATATTCTTCAATCCATTTTTCTGGGATGCTACTGCAAGACACTACCGTCAACGCAAAAGATTTGAAGACAGAAACACTTATCATTTTCTAATTCTGAATTTTTTATGAAGTCCGTACATATGTCATTCAACCCAAAAGTAATAAAAACGATGTTCCTCTCCATACTTGCGTGACATATTCGAAGTCAATGAGGTACTCTGGCAGGACGAGCTCGTGGTCGAACACAAACCATTCACTCTGCCGGAGGCTGCAGTCACAGGTGCCATGCTGGGTGGAAGAACAGGGCTTTTCTACAGCAGAGACGTGGAAAGAGGAAAGTAAATGACAGACCTCCTGATAAAGATAAAGCTCCAGCTCCAGGTACCAAAATTAAAACAAAATAACAGAAAAGCCCTTTACAAATAATTTACTACCCCCCTCTTCATTAATCATTTGCCGTCTTTATTTGCAGTACGGCTGATTCTCTAACACGGTGTCGGCATCTTACGGGTCTCTGTCCCAGACTGCTGCTCCCTGTCCATCGTCACGCTGCGGAAGACAGAGTGAGCCTTGGGATAGTTGTCCGGATCCACAGCCTCGCCATGTCGGGCTGACACACTGCGTCCCAGAAATGCTTTGGCAACCACAATCTGGCCTTCAGAAAGAGTGTGACAGGAACAATTGTGGTGAAAAAATGCCATATTTTATTTTTCTACACCGCTACATGCCCTACTACATATATATCCTTATCCATACTGATGGTTTGTTTTAAGCATCAATGACAACAAACGTCATGGTTGCAATACAACAGAAGAATACTTGTCTTGCTTGTACACTGAACAGGTAAAGTTTCTTGGTAACTCCCACCATCATAAGCTAAATAACAGATTCCTTAATTGGGAGCCAATTATTTATTTTCTCTTTTTCTTACTGGGCTAGCCATTGAGATAATGAGATGACAGAGCTGGACACCTATGCACATGGTGAATGGAGCTGCAAACCCCACTGGTGCTCTGATACACTAACCATATCTGAAAGGAACAGGGTCTGTGCCACTCATTCTGCAGGCTTTGGCCTGGCTCTGCAGGTATCTCATCCTCAGCTTGTCACAGACACTCAGACTGTTGGAGAGGGGGACAGCTCTCTCTCTGCCCAAAGCCTGAGAACAGAAGAGCATTCCTGAGAAACAGCACGTGCACTTAAGATGCCAAAAGGACACATACAATTGTCCAAGCTTGCTAAAACAATAAAACCTCTTCCTGTGTGACAGAACATGGAGTGAGGTTATAGAGAGTGTATATTATGGGCCAAGAGCTTTGCTCAAAATCATTTTTTGCTCAAGCTAGTAGTTCTCCCATGAGTGCAGAGCAAAGGAGACTTCTAGGAGTCTCCCTGTCTCCCTGGAGTCTCAGGAAGGAAACAAGATGGTCAACTATCTTATATCCTGGGCTATGAGACATTGCCATTGTTCATCTAGGGCTGTGTCTCTGAGTATAAAAGGGTGTGACACACATACACTGCTCTGGGTCATTTAAGACCCTGCAAAAACTTTGGCTGCTACACAAAAAAACCTACAAGTCTAAAAAGTGTGAGTGGTTGAGAAAAGGACAAATGGATAATTTGAGAAGTTACTGAGAAAACCTAAAGCCATAAAATGTTTAAAAGAAATGCTCATTGTTCAATGGTTCATAGGAGGTTTAGGAACCCAAACTTTCAGACAGGCCTGTGATACAATACAAAAGTCTACTCAGGGCTCCAAAAGGTCAAATGATTTTCCGTACGTTTGATTTTTCATAACAGTTTGGCGCTTATAAAATCTTTGCTTGCACTCAGAAAATACTCCTGTAATGAAACACTAGAGCACTTGCACTTAAAAGGTGTTCCTAAGTCTGTTTTCTGCTACAGGACTCATATAAGGGCCCAGACATCTGTAACTAGCCACTCCACCAAAAATTGGCACACCTGTTTTTCTAGCAGCACAAATAAACTCTTGCCTGCTGCTGACATGTAGAATTTCCCCTTGTTTCATTACAGAGTTATCAAAACATCAACTGTCAAAACGGAAGAAAGTCCTAAATAACATCTAATAACAAAAGTTCATCACAGCAGGCAAAGCTAGTTTTAAATAAATTATTTTGCAGAAATCCAGTTCATGTTATTTTGTCAATAAAAATAACAATACGGTAATAGTATTATTAATACCATATAACAACATTTGTTAACAAGCCACTTTTAGATATTAGAAAAATCTGTGACAATACCTTATATGAGTCAGCTGTTTTGAAACCATTCTCTGGAATACTGAGCAGTTCATTTTTTTCATCACAATGCTCTGGATCAGACACATAAAACAGATATTCCAGACCCCGCTTATAGTTTCTAGAAGCAAATCAGACAGAAATAGACACCACCATTATTTCAGTAATACGTTCTTTAAAATAAAAATTAACAGTGAATAATCCATCAATCAGTGTCTCATTAATAAAGACCTTAAAATCAGGACTGTTCCAGCAAAAATGGTCACCCTATATATTATAAGGATTGCCTGTAAATGAGTGTGACAGAGAGACACTGAAGCCCTTTGGTGTCCATTAGGGAGCCCTGTGAACACATCTGGTACCTGCAGCTCCCTTCACAGGCACAAGTTTGAAGATGTATCTCTAACGTTTTCTCAAATGATCTCCGATGCCCCTATATCCCAGGATCACAACATTATTCTGAAAACTGCCCTGTATTCTACCACATAACAAATTAAATCACATTTCATTTTTTTCACCTTAAGTTGTCAGACGTAAAAAGGAAACAATTTTCATAACTAGTACAAACCTAACAAATATACCCGATACCTACAGTATTACTCATGACTTGTAATAATCAAAAACTTCAATATTATAATAAATCATACACGTTTACTCTGAATATTATGTAATATAGTATGACAAAACAGTGCATCTACGACAACACTGTAAGCATTATCAACACAGCTCTTTGATATTTTAACAGCTTATGAATGAATAATGGTGTGCTTCTAGCTTTGTACATGATTTATTATCTTGACTTTTTCAAGTCCTGTAGCAAGCTACTCTGTCAAACAGAACTTAAAGAGAGCATAATGATTTTTTTTAAGGAACGAAAAATGTAACCATATATTCAACCTCCTACACAATTTTTTTTACAAAATAACGTAAAGCATAAGCATAAATTAGATATCAGTTTTTTTCTCTTCTTGGAAATCAAGATGTTTCTTTCAACACCAAATAGTTTTGGCACTATCCCTGTCACGATCGGAAGACATCTGACTTGCTAATTAAAAGAAGAGACAAATGCTTCAGTGTCTGTGCATCTCAGTTACTACTCTGAGTGATTACATACATTTTCAGAGGTCAAGGTCAGTCAAAATCCAGGAACTGTTAAATGAATACTCTTTTCAACATTACCTTTGAAAGCCCGGATTATATGCAGTGAAAATAAAATTAATTATTAGAGAAAGGAATAACAAAATAACAGATTGATACTATGCTTCTTTTAAAAAAATTATACAAACTAACCCATGGTGAAAGTTTTTTTTTGTAAAAGCACAAAGGTTCCTATTTCAGGTCTTCCTTTCAGTAGTTCATGTAACTTGGAGTTAACATTTGTTGACGGGTTTCCTTAAATTCAAACCATTTGACAAAGCCACAGGAAATGCCATGGGTGAATTCAATAAGCTCTTCGCATTACACAACCGGTTCCCGAGACCCTGACCCAACCTCGGTCATCGGCATGGCAAGCATAGAAAGGCGTTTCACACCAAGCATTTCAGACTCACTGAGAGAAAATGGTGGACTCCTCATTTGCCAGGAGACAGTGAAGTTTGTCTTCAAACATGAGCCTCAACACACGATTGTGAATCCTGATAATTTGGTTTATCTTTATTCCCGTGATGCCAAAAGCCTTGAAATCCCAGGCACAGAATCGGGACAGGATGAGGTCACAGCAGGGGTTGAACCTAAAGGGAGCAAAGCACAGTGGCCACTGTCAAAAAAGAAAAGTGTTTCTGTCTTTTCAAGACTGGGTATAAACAGCAACAGAGGATCAGGTAGAATGAAAGAGATGCAGAATACAAGGGATTTTCCACTGTGACTTCCATCACATACATAAAGCGTCACATATAATGCCTCCCATGCCTTGGACTTCATACAAAAACACCTAAACATAAAAATTACCTCCTGAATAATTAAATGCGAGGGTTTTCAAATATTTCTACTTCAATTGCCACAATATTTTGATCAGATTGCAAGGTAGTTGTTACAAACCGTGGGGTTTGTAAACAGTGGGGTTTGTAAAGGTTTTTATTAAATAAAGTAGAAATAACAACTGAAGTAAAACGATTTGAAAATTAAAATTCACCAAGTCCTAATGAGCTGGCAGTCAAAGACCTTGGTAGCCTACAGCTGCAAATAAGTGATCTGTGCTTTGGATAAACACATGACATTGATGGACACCATAAGATCTTTTCAAAACAACAACATAAACAACAGTTTATATGATAGCTCCTAAAACGTCTGGCAACGCCAGAATAACATTACAACTTCAATCCACCCAGCAGGCAGCAGTCACCCATTTGCCAAACTCTGTGCTGGATGGCAGCTTCCTGGGTCCTGGGTTTCGTCCCACCCAGAAATCAAACCCATTCACAGACAGCTTATTCCTGCCAAGTGGGACATCACCATGCATTCTGGGTTTGCATTGTGCTGTTGGCTGGTGGCAAATGAGGTCGAGTTTTGGAGTTGAACAAAATATTTGCAACTATGGTTTCAATTAAGCAATTAGTTGCAATTATGGCATAGCTTGCAAGAAAGTGCCTAAAATATGCAGGGGAGCACTTACGATTACAACAAGTATACCCTGCTTAAACACAGACTTTTATTAGCAAGACGACTTGCCAGGTATCAGCTGAGGAGCCTTCTTCAAACCGAATGTTTCCTACTGTTTCAAGCTCGATCAGCAGAAAGTGCACCATCAGTCCAGTACTCTCGGCAGCCCTTTTGACATCCTGCTGGTAGCGTGTCTCGATCCTGCATTTCGAGAGGGTGTGCACATTATTTTCAGTCAATTCCAGGAAACATGCAAAACGAAAGACCGTGGAACAAACGTGCACAGCTGACTGCCCTGCCTACAAGTTCCTCTCCCTCCCTGCTACGCAGTTCAACGATTTCACTTTTTTGAATGAAAAGGCATAAATGTACTTCTTGTAATTTTGTATATTGCATGTCATTGAGAACATACTAATAGACTCATGTTCAGCATGTTGATTTCAAAACTCTGGGGGACCATCTATCTCTTTAACGACACAGTTACAATATTACTTATCGTATCATGTAGCACTGCTGCAGGCCTGAGAGTCATTATGCCTCTATCTACACCAGGTCACGTTTTTGAAAAAATCCTAACTTTGGGTACCAAGAGGAGAATAAAACAAGCAAAAACAGAAGAAAAATATATTTCCTTTTGGATAAATTTAGATTTTAATAAAGGATTTAGTATATAAAATGTGTACGTATTGTATAACGATTTTTGCACCTAAAAAAGTCAATACTATGTATCAATACCCACTCCTGTAGCTTTCTTGTCCACACGGAGATCCTTTCTTTCACTGCGTCCATTTTGAGCAGCGGCTGCTGTCCAAGGCAGAGGCCTCTGGTGCCGTCCCCCGGCTTGCAGCTATGGTCGGCTGACCCTTCTGAAAGCGCCTGTGGGCTGTCTGAGGGCTGTGCAGGTCCCATGCCACAAGGCTTTCTGAAATCAGCCTGGACATCTGACAGCTCTCTCTCCAGCTATTTACAAAAAATGACATTGCACCAACACATTGCTATACACAGTGCATGGTAAAAACATACCTTTTAACCACTGTTTAAAAAGTTAATCTATGAATTGGCTTCATCACTCTGCTCTCCTCCCCACTGATAACTGATGTGTGGGGAGCGTTCTGGCGCACTATGGCTGCCGTCACATCATCCAGGTGGGGCTGCACATTGGTGGTGGTGGAGGGGATCCCCATTACCTGTAAAGAGCTTTGAGTGGAGTGTCCAGAGAAGCGTTATATAAGTGTAAGCAATTATTTATTATTATAATTATTAATCCAATAGCCACGGCACAGATAAACAAATCAGCAGGGTTCCCTATCATGATTAACAGAGATGAATGGGGACAGTCTTCCTCGTGATGGGTATAAATGTATAATTGTCAGAAGATACTCTTATCTGTCAGAGACCGCTACTGAAAATACAGTTTATATTGCAAATCAGTGAAAACGGCATTGTCCTGTAGTTTAGAAAGCCTTCCCAATGTTCCTCTCCATTTTAAATGCTCTTATGGGTTAAAGTGTGCTTTGAGAGAAGGAGACTTAAAATTCCCTTTGTCAAAGAGGTTGTGCTTCACTTCATGAGTCACCACTAACCACAACAAAGGAGTGACTAAAGAGAACGAAGAGGGAGATCAGTGACACCTTTTGTTTGTGTAGATGCTGAAAACACTTTTTTTGTAGTAGAACATGGTTTGGGTACAGGACATGTTTTAGACCCTGAACCAGAACTATGACTTTTTTATGTTTTAAAACAATTCCTAAATCCCAAACCTTTGAGCAGGATGCTTAAACTTAAAGTTTATTCTTATTTTGTAACGCATTTGATTGAACTTTAATTGTGTGAAAATCTGCCTTAGTCATATCTATTAAGATCTTTTGAGAGTAACCTGCAAGAGATGTGTACTGCAGGAACAGACATTTCCAGCAAAAAGTATTTTTATATTCAATTTTGTTTCATTTTTAATTTAGCAAGTAATAAGAAGGAAACTTACAGAAAGCAACATATATATATATGTATGTATATATAGTGTATATGATGCCACAACAGCAATAATTAAACAGGGTGATTTCCTATGTAGATTGTCTCATTATCCATTAATACTTACATTTTTTAGAGCAAAACTTAAATTCCTTATTCTCTCTTTCGGCAGGTGCAATAGGTTCATCTTTTGCTCCCTCAGTTTAGCCTGCATATTCACTAGGTGTCTCTGAACTGTCTTCACACGCATGTTGTAATACATCATCTTCTTCATTACTGTTAACTAGGAATCACAGAGGAAATATTAAAATGGGATATACACTTTCTTTTGCACTGATACAGTATATACATTCTTTGTCTAAGGCTAGCTAAACTTCTAAACTAATAACCTTCTGAACTAATAAAGAACCACAGTCATAGCTGCACAAAAACCGATATCAAATATGTATAAGAAAAGAAACAACACATTATATAACTCAGTTCCTAAAGGAATAAATTCACTGCATTAAAACAGTTCAGCACCCACCAGGATAACATATTAAGAAGGGAATGTGGGGAGGCCTTATCATGGAGTCATAGTGAAATTAAACCAGGGCACCTGGGTTAACAGTGGTTAAAGAGCCACTGGACTGACTAAGCTGTCAGAACCATTCTGGGATAGTGGATTTTAAATTGTGATCCAGAGGGAACTCAACCTACTGGTCCACCAGAACTACTTACAGCAGCAATATATAATTTTTCTTAGAGATCTCTTAATCCAATACTGACCAGGCCTTTCTGACTTTCTGAGATCTGGTGAGATCAGACTACAATGTGGTAATGCTGCATAATACTATAAATATGTATTACATACAGTACATACTAATTACATTTAAGAAAATGTGCTTCTTTAGTTTACAGAAATCTATATACACATTACCAAATGGAAAAATGTGTCCAGACTCTAAAAAGAAAAGGTCAGACAGATGTGGATTTCAACTTAATGTTACTGAAGAGACAGATCTCAATGTGCATGTCCTAAGCACCGGCTTTAACCTATCAAACAATACCTTTAAGGGAAAGAAAATTTCTACAAATAAAATACAAATACATTTTTTTTATGTCACATTTGAATCCGACAGGACTGTAAAAACGTGACTAAAATGATGATAATCATTACCTCTGCTGCATCTTTAATCTGTTTATGCGTGACATCATACGTGTCCAGTCTCTGTAGCCATGGCATGTGATATAGGACATGTGTGGCATAGTTGCACAGCAAGCACACAGGGTTGGGGGTGTACTGAGGGTCCTTCAGTCCCAGATCCTTTAGACGAGGAAGCCGTGCCAGGTGAGCGACCTCCTGCAGGAAGGAAGATACAGGAATGCACAGGACTGCAGAAAATGACAATACTTTACACATGACAAGCTAGAAAGGAAAGGAGAGCTACAGTATATCCCCCGGTCCTTCAAGAAAAGGCTACAGGTAGCTTGATTTGCTACTGGTAACCAGCTGAGCAACATGGATCCAATGACTTCATCACACTTACAACAGTGATATTCCTTCCAATAATAATAATAATAATAATAATAATATATGCAACAATTAAAACACATTCAATATAGCTCACATACAGTTTTAGGCATTATGGAAAGCAAACAGATACAGAATGTAATCATTTTCTTATTTTCATTATCATCATCATATGAAAAGCTGGCTGAATATTAACAAGGATATCCACTAGCAAAGACTGAGAAGGGAACAATTCCAAACAATACTTGCAGACTGATGAAATAATCTTCTATTTTCATTTAAAGACAAAGCTTCACTCAGAATTTTAAAAAGCAGACCTTAAATGAGCTGATTCTGTTTCCAGATAGGTTCAATGTTTCAAGAGCAACGTTAGGATCAAGGCAACATCCTGAAAAAATGTAAAGTATTTTTATGAGCTACAAGGTACAGTATATAGAAGATGTTTCATAATCCTTCTAATATATGAAAATAGATTGAAACTGTTACTTTCTAGCACTTTTTTCTTTCTCTCACTGGTGGCAAACTTCTTACCAAATGCTAGTTTTCTAGCAAAAATCTTTATTTGAGAGTATCAGTATCCTAATTAGTAATGGTTGTCCAAATAAAACTGATTTATACAATATGAATATAAATCATTGAACGTATACTCAAACTGTAAAGATAATTTAAAACGTGAACATACTGCTCATTTGTATTTCTTACATCCATAGATTAATTGTAAAAGTCTGAACAACAAATAGTGAAGCACTACAATATAAATGTATAATTTATTGTTCATAACATACCAATTTTCTCAATTGCATTGCCAGCAACATTCAGCTCTCTCAAATTTTTGAGTGTATTTAGTCCCTGTAAACAAACAACATGGAGGAAAAAAAGTTAGCAACGTGCATGTAAAGAAGGAGATTTTTTTATTATTTGTCTTAAGTGGCAAAACGTAACCATTTCCACAAGAAAAAATAATTTAATTTGTATTTTTGTGGAAAATTATCAGTAGAAGTACAATAACAAATAAAGGTGCCAAGGTGTGGGATACCTCAATAACAGTGATAAGGTTGTTGTTCAGCCAAAGAACCTCTAGGTTCTCCAGCATCTCCAAGTTCCCAATCTTAGTGATTTTATTGTCGTATAGGAAGAGCTTCTTTAACTGCAGACAGGCTTGGAGGCCACCAATCTCCTTTGTGGAAACAAAGACAAAAAGGAGTGAATCACGAAAGCGTTTAGTTAGAATTTTGTAACACACACAGAACGCTTGTCCTTGCAGATAAGAAATGAACAATATCTGATGTACAAACAGAGTGACTGGTCTTACAATGGCGGCAGTAGAATTACCATGCCTGTTTACTTGCTTGTTAGGATTCTGATCAAGTACAAAACATATATTTTTTTGCACTAAGCCCACAAGGTGCGTCTGACAAAGTCAGTGCTTCATTCCACGGCTGATCTCCATCCGTTTTGGCGCCGACAGTAATATACTTAAAAACTAGAGGCATTAAAAAAAACAGGAAAAAAAATTGAATCGTCTCACAGTCAGCTGACATTCAACGATCCACAGCTCCTGGAGCAGGGGGCAAGAGTCCAGGCCCTCAATCCTCCCCACGCCCTGCCCCACGACAGTCAGCTGGGACAGGCGGGGGAAGAGGTGAAGCCCCACCATGCGGGGGTACCCCGAGAAGAACATCTCCAGAGCCAGGACATTGCCCCCTTCCGCGGACACCTTTTCATAGGACAGCCCATTGGCGGCACACTGTGAATGACAGGAGCAGCCCAGTTTGGTCAGATCCAGTGACTCGACATAAGCTGAATGTGTACTCTCACGCCGAGGACCATCCCAAACAGCTTCCCAGGAGTGGAACCCTGCGCGACTGCATGTTTTCGCAAAGGCACGGGAAACAGATGCCAGAGTTACTGCAAAGTATAGAAAACAACTCTGCCTCACCAGCTCTTTGATGACTTCTTCATCTCCATTTGCTTTTTGCTTGTCATTTTGTGTCATACTTTTGTCCTCCCCACTTGGAACACTTTGACGGGAGGGCAGTTACAACATGACGGAGCTGGAAATGCAAAAGCCACAGTACAAAAAGTCTAAGAAACTTTGGAAAAGGTTTCTAGAAAAGGAAAATAACCTTCACGTTGTCACACAACTTTTAACCCTCCGAGATACATTATTTAAGCCTCAGAAACAAAAAAGAATCTCAAAATCTGTTTAACTCAGATGATCATTCTATTTTTTTGATTTTCCTCCCAATTTTGTCATTAGGGGCTGAACCTTCTGCTTCTTGGAGCCCTTTCCTGTATGGATTGTAAAAGACTTCAAAACCTTTTATTCATATTTTGATTTATTTTTCCTGCATCACTGACCAGCCCAAACAGAGGACAAAGCAAAAGGAAGAAAAGTGGACGACTGCCCCATCCCCACTGTGCTTCATCCTGTCTTGCACAGGCTGGTTCTGTCGGGGTGGCATTTGAGCAGGGCCATTGTGCGGTACACACTGAAGCAATTGGCTCTACATTGTTTCAATCTCTTATTGTGTCCCCAGGCTCTTAGACTTCACTCATTGCTTTGCTCAGTTCCACTTAGGCTACCCCACAGTGCAATGCACTATTCACAATTTCACAATACTCCTGCACCTTATTTCATTATTCTCTTCAGCAGTTTTAGTTTGCACTCAGGACAACTGGATTCCCCTGCTCTCTGTTTCTTTGTTCTCATCTTTATTTAAAGCGGACAAGAGGATCTACTTTAAAACTGAAAAAAAGGCAAACAAATGAATCCACTGACCTGTTTATTTTGGGGGGAAACTGATAAAAGCTGGTCACGAATACCCACTTTGCAAATTAGTGTACCTTTAAAAAAATCGGCGATGCTTATATTACCAGTATTATTCGCCAAACTGTACTTGAAAACGTAGTGTACTAAAGCGGAATGTGTAGCTAACTAGCAAGATGTGGACAGAAAGTAGCTAAGAATGTTCCGTCTTAATTTCTGGAGATTTAAAGATAATAAATGGACATAAAAACATATGACTTTATAACCCAGGCAAAGTAATGTAAACTGCCTTGATATTGCTACGGCTATACCTGGTCAAGTTCTAAATGTTTAGTAGCTATTACATTATTTAGAAAAATTACAGAGGAATGCTTACCCTTTTTGAAATTGCAGTTAGTATTTACTCCGTTTTCTTAAATACATTGAAAACAGCTCTTTTGTGTTGCATTTCTGGTAGTTGTAATTATTTACGCCGTTTCCAAGGAACCTGTGCGTCCCCGTTGCTCGGGAGCCATCTTGAATCCTCAATAAGAGACAATTCGTGACAGACCAGCGGTATGCGCTGTTTACTTGTTCAGGTTGGGGGGTGGTTTTCTTTCTTTAGTTTATCATTACTCACAGTGCCAGTAAGTGAAAGTGTTTGCCACTGTTAAGTATCATTGACAATTAAGTTTCGGTGTACGTATTATTAAAAGCATATAATTACACAACAAGTCAATTTTTATGTAAGAAACATGATTGAAGTTTCCCAGATATTTGCTCAATAACCAATAAATGAAGTTTCCAACTAAAACCAGATATAATTACTTTAATGGCTGCAGCATTTCACGGCCCCTGTCAAATATATTGGAAGTATTTTGTATTGGAGTATTTGCTCTCTTCTGTTACAGACTAAGCATTTTATCTACCAGCAAGTTTTATGTAACAGTATTAAAAGTGATCGGGCGCAAACCCGCAGTGGTATTTTTGTGAGTCTGTGTGGAATGTTTACGTTGTTTTGTCTTTTGATTTTGCTGTTGGTAAAATACACAGAGACAAAATCTTTTGGGCGAGGGGGAATACGGTACAGTATTTTGAAACGTCTGTGAGATTTGGGCTTGACTGCTCTCCTTAGGTGAGATGCTCCCGTGCAAATGTAAAAACAAAACACTCAACTGAGACTGATTAGCTGTTTGAGGGCCCATGTGGAGTCCAGTAGGCTCCCTACAGAGTGTACAAACATGAATTTCCCAGCTGTTATCTTCGATCCCCACAAGATGCCGCTGTAGAGCTTGCATCGTCCCATGCAATCACGAGCACACACCCAAAAATTGCTGGAAAAAGGGAGCTGGGCTTTCCGGCAAATTCCAGCTACGTTTCTGGAAATCTGCATGAAAAAGTTCGTGCGCATCTCTAAGGAACCCCGCAACACGGGTTCTCGGCTATGCTTTGAAATTCCGACTTATTTCTTGGTTACTCTTCAATACAGAAAACCAGACCTTCGTCATTTCAATGATTTTTTAAATTAAATAACTACGACGACTTCCGATCCCAGCACACATCATATTTGCCGCCTGCCTCCGAATCGAAACTCACAGTTAACGCGTTTCAGTTTTTTTTTTATAAGCCTGCTTATATCGGGAGGAGATGATAAAGTTGTCGTCACATATCTGTTCTGCGCCCATCACCTTTTTTTTTTTTACTTCTAACAATACCACATCCATACAGTTGTGAATGGAACTTGGGGTTGTTGTTGTTGTTGTTTTTTAAAGAAAAACGATTAAAATGCAGTTAGCCCACACGCATATAAAGCGGTTTGAGGTAACTTGCAGAAAGACTTCGACCCAAGGAGAGAACTCTTAATTCGATCGGCTCCATCCTCTCCAGATGCAGCAGTGCAACACAGCGCACGGCTCTCCTTACGCCAAACGGTTAACAGACTGTTACTTTCCGTCCTAAATCCGTGCCTACCATAAGCCACAGATAGGGTGACGTCAGTGTCGAAACACTGAACTAAACAAGCCATTTTCACATGCGTAATGCTCGAGTAGAGTGCAAACCAGCGCTAAGACATTCACTAACAACTGCTGGCGTGCGGCACCCGTTTCGGCAGAGTGATTTATTTTTTTTCCTCCCCCTCTTCCTCCTCCTCCTCCTCTCCCTCCCGTCCGTCCGTCCGTCCGTCCTCGACCCAGCTCTTTTCTTCGTTGTGAGGTCTCACACACACACCCCACCAAGCCGGCATGTCTGCGAAGCCCAGCGAGGAGCCTGGTTCGGAGGGGACGTGGTTCGGGGAGGACCTCGACCAGCCCGACCGCTGCGGGGGGACCGTGCCCCGGTTCGGCGGGGCGGGTGCGGACCCGGGGGTGGACCAGAAGCAGGAGATCTGGAAGGATGATGCCAGCGAGCAGAAACAGCCACAGCAACCTGACGGCAGCCGGCAACAACCCCTTGTTGCCATGGAAACTGCATCTACAGGTAAAGGCTGGATGCAGGAAAACATACTACGTGCTCAAAGCCAATTAGCCGGACAGTGCAATGTGTGGTATATATATATATGTGTGTGTAGTTGAGTTTTGCAATGGCCTTTATATTTTAATGTTAAATATGACACGGATCTACAGCAGGAATTCTTCCTAGGGAAGTTAAAAAAGTGAACAAAAGACATTCGCCCGGGCACCTCTTGTCTAATAGAGGAGCTGTTTTATGGCGCTAACGTTATTTCGTAAAAGTTAACTCGTCCGCACTTGAATCGTACCGTCGCATTGAGTATTTTTAGTCAGGAGAAATGCGGCTTGCGTTTTCGAAACAGAAAGGGAATGTTTGAATTTTTTAGAAAGTCTTTTTAGAAAATGGCTGTCGTGCTCTCCAGTAAGTTTCACGATTTAAGGTGGTGGGTCTAGCCCGTCACGGCAAAAAAAAAAAAATCGTAAAGTTGCGGTGTTTTCACCGTATAACAAAGTTTCTTATTTAAGGTGTCAGCAGTTTTCCGTTGCATTTCAGACCGCGTTTTTCTCAGATATTCTCAAACCTCCATTAGTATTGGAATCTGTGAGGTAAACGGATACAGGGAGAGAAAATATGATGACTAATAATCGTGGCCTAAACACGATTATCAATAATGTTTGTATTTGTCTTTTCTTCAAGCTCGAGTTATCACTCAGTGATGTGGAAATGCAGACGGCTGCTCACAATAAATCATCATCATAATTGTGTTTGCGTCGTGCCACCTCAAGATCTTTAGTTTTCGCCTGTCGGGGGCGGGGAGGGAAAGTTTTCCCACGGCGAGGTGACACGGATTTGCGACGTCCTGCGAGATTTTGAAGGGAACGGATGCAGTGAGTCCAGTTGTGCGTGGCAGGGCGTGTGTGAGCGTGGTTTCTCGGCTTATTGTGTGAGCTTGCAGCCCGGGTTTGGATAGGAGGTTCCTTAGAGTAGCGGCCCTGCCAGAGGGTGGAAAGTTCTTGACGGTCAGTCGGACGCAGCTCTCCTCATTTTAAAAAAGGATTGGCCTTTTATTATGAACCTGGATTATCATTTTAAAGGCTCACAGGTCGGTCAGAGACACTCGGCGTGTCGGGACCCGGTTCGTCAGACCTGGGCTTCCAGTGTGCATTAAGAAGTGCCTTTTAATTAACATCCCATTCCTGAGTGGCAAATAGCTGCAGAAAAGATGATGTGACATCAACGTTTTTTTTTTTTAATTTTACAAGCCCAATCATTTGCTAAGTTTGTTCATCTATGATGTGGGCACAATGAACCAACTGACAAAAACTAACAATAAAGGTTTCTAAAGAAATGTCTCCGTTTTTAAACCAGAGCTTGTTTTGTTCTATGAGGATCTGCAACACAAATAAAAGGAACAGGAGCTTTTAAAGTGCATTAACCGAATCCCTTTGAATTATTCAGTCACATATAGCACAGTATATTCTTGAATGAAGTCCTGTAGATTTTTTCAGGTCCCCGTGTCATCTTCCTTCATTTTAGTTTTCTTAATTTCACAATTCTTTGAAATCGCAGTCCTGTGGCTTTCATTTTTCTAAGAAGGTCAAGAAATTATTAAAGAGGAAGCTTTAAAAATGGCACGCACATCCGCAGTCCTCAGTCCCAGTGCTAGTACAGATAAAATATGCAAGCAAATGGAAAAGTTGATGTAGCTGTGTCACAGCCCCCCTTGTCTTCTGTGAGACAGGGAATGGGAAAGGGCAGCAAGGAGGCTGGGACTCTTGGGTAAATATTTTGGTGTTTGGAAATATATCAGGTCAAAGGACAGAGAGCTCATAATAGTGGAGAGATCTTCCGGAGCTCTGCAAATATCCAAACACAGGAGGAAGTAGTAGCCTCCCACAGTTTCCTCCTTTGCAGAAAAGGATTATTTTAATTGTTTTGCTCAGAAGAGGAGTGTAGTGCCTTTGCTGTTGTTCTCCCAGAAAATAGTCGGACAAAAGCACTAGCTGACAGAAACAGCAGGGATGATGCCAGCCTTCTTCACCTGGCACCGAAATAAAGGTACACATAGTGGGCATGCTGAATTACCCAACCCTGACATATGTCTGTTTGTACGTTTGTTTGGACCTGACATCAATGAAAACCAGTAGCTGAAGCGGTTAGCTTATTCCTTGCTGGGAGCCTTAGTCTTAGGCATCTTTTTTGGGGGGCTAAGCTGTTATGCTGCGATGGAGTGGGGCCCCGTCTGGGGTGTACCCTGCCTTGCGCTTGTTTCCTGCTGGGTAGGGTTAGGGTTAATGACCAAAGTGGTTTGATAAATGACATGACATACACTGTTATGTATTGTAGTTACATGTTTTAAGAAATATGTAGTCATGAGAAATTTGACTTGTTTTTATTTGGTTATCTAAAATAGATTATTTTTTTATTGAGTATGATAAATTAGTAAACTTTTAGTAAACGTGTGATTTAGACTGTTCTAATGTGGGCATAGGTCATTATGTTTTATATAAGTCCAGCTCCAGCAACATGGCACAAATTAGTGCTTTCAGTCACTATAGCCTTCACTCAGCACGAATCTTGTCATTCTTACTTGACCACTTCAGAAGACTGAAGAGGAAAAAGGGATGTGAAAACATGCAGCACCTTGTACAGCCTACTAAATCATTCAATATGTTCCATTTTCATTTCTGCATTTTTTCTACGTCTGGTACAGCATTAAGGGTGACCACTACTAAGAGTCTCCTAAACGTCCACAGTTCCGGTAATTCCATTTTTGAGTTTAAATATTGTGTAGCAGATGTACTTGCTATTTGATACAGTGAAAAAAACCGAATGCAAGTCACTGATCTTGGTAAAGAACACTGTCTTTTGTATGCATAACTTAGTTTTCCTTTTGTTGTTTAATATTACTTTGTTTTGTAGACATATATTTTTTCTTAGTTACTTTTTCATTATTTGTCTTACTGTAGTTTGGTGTGGCTTTACAATGAAATATAGATTTCAACACATCAAATATTCCAGGCCTTTAACAAGCCTGCTGGAAAGGATTGTTTGGACAAACTGGTCAATAGTGTAGTAGTTGAGCACAGGAGTCATTGACGTTTTATGGTTCAGAACTCTGAAGCCTCTATGGAAGTAAAAATAAAATATTATTAATTTCTTCCTTTTAGTTCAGGATTCTGGTTTTCTTGGTTTAACAAGGGCTATTCACAGACAAGGTTTTTAAGTTTAGAATAGGAAGGGAGATACTGTAGATTCCCTAGAGACTTAATTACAGAGGGTAATTAGTTGGTCATTCTAACCTAATTTTCATTTTTGCATGTGTGTGTTGTGAGATAGAAATGTTTTAAAGCGTTCACCATGAATATATAGGTCGTTTCTGGCTGTTGTGACTAATGATTCCAAATAATTTTGCTTTAGGGAAGATTGAATGGGGTAACTGGTAGCCCATGGAAATGTAGTAACGAGTAGGAACTTGCGTTGGTATTAAATGCAATGTGAGCAATGTGCCAGAGCAACAAATGTTGGATGGTGACTGTACATCAGTCTTACTCAAGTGAAGATGCAAAGACACATTCCTGCTTTCTAAATGGCCATGCCTGCCAACAGTCAGGTGGTTTCCCTGTGTTAATTCAGTGGTTTTTGGAGTAGTCCTGATGACAGGTGAGGTTCTCACTGTTAGTTCAGGAATTTTCTATCATGCTATGGGGCTCTCAGACGATTGTGAGCAGAATGGATCTCCTACTTCCTGATTTCAATATGGATGCAACAAAGATCCTACATAATATTGACATATTCCATGGATATACTTCAGGCTCCATTTACACACTGTCAGAAGTCTTTTAAATCTACATATATAGTTAATTTCTAAATTTTTTCTTTATTTGTGACTTTGCTCTTTCTGCGAATGCACTATTTTCAGGAGCTGCTCTGTGCTCATTTGGCTTTCTGTCTCCTGTCTGACACTTCGGCATAAGATTGTTTTTCACCAGTACCTCTCTGTATTTTATCAGCAAGGTCTCTATACAACCTGTGTATCCCTAAGCCTTGCATGCTGATCAAAACTCTGATGTAACCTTTTTCCACACATCCTGTGGCTGGTACAGCAGTATCATCTGCATAATGATGCTTTGTACTATCTGGAATGTGGTGTGGACAGCAGCACCGTTTCCAGTCTGACCGTAATACACTGCAGTGATGTGACACAGCTGGCGGTTTATCTGAAGTCAGAAAACACTCTGAACCTGTCATGCTCAGCTGGGCTTTTCTTAGCCAGGTTTGTACAGTAGGGTTGACTTGGCTTGGTTGTGCTGCATGGCAGTTTGTTGGATCAGTACGCCATATGCATTTGAGCTTTGTGCGTTAGCTTGTCATACCTTATAGCAAAAGAGCAAATGCTGTCTGAAGGAAACTTACTGGCGACTTGGGCTTTAACACTCAGAAGACTGTCAAGTAAAGGTCAGACATTACAAAGTGTCTAAGCTGCAACAACTGGGAACATGCTTGGAAAGACTGCAAAAGGTTCTTCCCACAGGCAGGCATTTCAGGTAACTGTGAATTGGCCTTGATCATGATATGAATCACACATGAGATTCTCTTGTCACTCACAGAGTTTTCCCTGTGTTTTTTGTGTGACAGTCAGTTATTGCTTTTTGTAAGATGTACATAGCTCTCTGAAGCTCACTGGTGCACAGGGGGTGCTAAACCTGTTAAATTATTTCAGTATATGCTTTCCCTCTGGAGCCCTTGAAACACTTTTTTTTTTAGCTTTACTGACTTAAATAGTAAGGTCAATTCAACAACATAATGTATCTATGAATGACCTGTAAAAAGCAGGAAATTAAAACAAAATGTGCTTTAATATGCTTTCTTTAAATGTTACTAAGTTGTTCTGCATAGTTATTCAGACCCTTAGTGCAGGGGGTTCTCTAATCTTTTAAAAAGTCGTGGCCAAAATGTCTCTGAACATTTTAAAAGCTACCACATAAAAAATATTTTAGCACAATTCGTTAATATACAGTTTATTA